AAATGTATAAGAAAGGTATCAGGACAAGGTTCCCTTCGTGGTTCGTTAAACCCCTGCTAAAGCTGGCACTTGTGTGAAATGGCAGAAATCGCTCGAAACTCTGAACATATGAAAGTTCAAGGGTTCGGCTGGGAACTGCAATAACTTTCTGTGACATCTATTGGTCATCCCTAGGACTGCATTGTCACTGTGACGGCACTACATGCCTAATTTGTTTGTTTCTCACCCCAAAACAAAATCTTCAAATGACCGTTTTACAACGAAACCTGCCACTTTGGGAGGTCCAACAAAAACGGAAATCCAGGGACACCCCGCTGGAGTCTCAATGACTCTGCCAAGCTTGGTCCCGTTTCGCCCTTTCATCAGCGAGATGTTGCCGTAGCACACCAGTAAGGAGAATTGTGTCGGCCCCCAACAGGAGCCACACGTCTCTTCTTTCTCTAGTTTTGGCATCGCAGCATCAGTGTGGGAATGGCATTTGGACATTGTTTGAACATCAAGTTGGACCCAGTTCAAGGACCAACGCCACTGCTATGGCTCAAATTGAGGAAGCCCAAATTGTTGGCTCTTGTTGGTTTCCCGGAAAAGAACATATCGAACAAAAGATAAACAGAAAGAGATGGAAATGATGAGGTTTCCCAACAAAAAACATCCAAATTCATGGTGGCTCATTCACAGTGCAGAGAACCAGTTCCTGCGCCCTTGCCCAAACGTTGAGCTGCCATTCAAGGGAGCCCTCAATTGAGCCGTGTTTGGGCATATTAGTTCGTCTCAAACTGGTGGGGCCATTAAAAGGCGGGTTCCTTTTCGTCTCCCTTTAAACACCGCAAAACGGGATCCCCAAGGTATGTACCGTCAATTTACCTTGAAAAATATGATCGTTAGGAATACAGATGCGAAGAAACATGCATACAATCCGTAACAGTATTTGGAATAGGCGTAAACCCAGACCAACACCAACCAAAATAGGAAAGCCAAAAGGTCAACAGGTTGATTTGTTGGGCAACAAAGACTCACAAACGCAAGTTGCACCACCCGCCCTGCCAGTTAACTTTTCTATTTCTAACGCAGCCGCAAAGGGCCGCTCGAAAGATCGGCATCTTGACGCGTTCGAGAAGGCGCAGGAAAACATGTGCAACTTTCCAAGATCGCCACAAACCTGCGCTGAAGGCTGAAGGTTGTGTGTTGGCGAGCATGACTTATGGACAGAGTCCGGGAGCGTATTCTGGATGTGCGGCGGTGGCGCTGCCACGGGGAAAGCCGTGAAATCAGCGCAAGAAGCCGCAACGACAGTGGCATTGTCACAGCATCTTCGAAAGTCCGGTGATTGACCACCGGTCCGATGGATTGGGTCCCGGAAAAAAATCTTCTCTGGAATCCACTCCATTGCCCAAAGTCACAACAAAGCCGTCGGCCAGGATGGCAGCAAAAGCAAGGTCTGTTCCTTGGATCTGCTGGACTTTGCTCCATTGCTGTCGCTCCTGGCTGGGTTCACAGCATCTAGTTTGTTAACTGACCACCTGTGCCATGGATTGGGTCCCGGAGAAGATCTTCTCTGGAATCCACTCCATCGCACCGGTCTCTGGCAACTTTGCCAATCTCCTTTGAGCCAATGTAGCTGACCCGCGAAGGAGCCCATCGATGTTCGAGCGAGCAGTAAAAAGACAGGAACTGGATGGGTGCATGGGGAATAGTTGTGGTCCTCGGCCTTGTGAGGCAACATGAAATCGATGCTTCTTGCATACTGCTGTCATGCGCTACAGTACCCAGGGATTATGGAAGTTCACATCTCAGTATTCGTAAGTCACCGCCATAGTCAGGACTGCCCAAAGTCACCACAAAGCCGTCGGCCAGGATGGCAGCAAAAGCAAGGTCTGTTCCTTGGATCTGCTGGACTTTGCTCAATTGCTGTCGCTCCTGGCTGGGTTCACAGCATCTAGTTTGTTCACTGACCACCTGTGCCATGGATTGGGTCCCAGAGAAGATCTTCTCTGGAATCCACTCCATCGCACAGGCCTCTGGCAACTTCGCCGATCTCCTTTGAGCCAATGTAGCTGACCCGTGAAGGAGCCCATCGGTGGGTCCAAAGGCCCTCGATTCTTAGTCGAAGCCACGTGCCACGTGCCCCAAGAGCTCAACGGACCTTTCGCTGGATGGTCTTTCAACCAAAAGGGAATCTCCTCGAGAGCCCTTTGAGCCACAACTTACACTTGGTGGACCTTTCTGGGATGTCCCATTTTGGCACATGCACGTCCCTCCACAGGTCGGGCTTTCCGAGGGAAAACCAAACAGGGAATTAAGCTTAGAGTCTTTGGAGGGAAGCTCTTCAAGATCTAACATTGGGTCAATGTTCAACCACGACTCGAATCGTTTCTAGCATCATCGCTTTCGTGGCACAAATGTCGCAAATGGCACCAAACGTTGACCGGGCACGGACCCGCAACCTTGTTACAAGGCTTCCATCTTCAGTCGCCTGCATCCGCCATCGCTGCGGATCTCACGTCGCGGTCTCGTTTTTCCCTTCGGAAATGAGTTGAGCACGTGTCCGGGTGAAAGGAAATGTGTAGTGTGACCTATCGTCATAACACAAGTCTATCAACGACGGCTTTGGCTGCAGAAAATAGAGCATGACATAATGAAGCAGGTGTGTGATCCCTGACAGGTCAGTGTATGACAGAATGGAGCCATGTCTGAAAGAAACTACGCCGGCTGATCAAGCCTGGTGAGGATCCCTGCAACGGGCAGCTGGCTTAAGTTGCGTGACAGAGTAGCCAAATAGCTGCAGCGGGCGTCTTCAATGCTTGTGAGACTCAGTGGGAGTTCTGGCTTGCCTGGGATCCGCTGGATATAAGAATGGCTGAACATGGCCTTGGGTGGCTGATTCCCATCCCCAGTATATACTTGGACACACTAAACACCTGACCAGGCCAAGACACCCTGCCTGCAAAACACATTCTGGTATGGAGCATGATGACAAACCGAAAAGGCTAAAAGGGTTCAACAGGCTTGTGCCTTCGTCTGGCAATGTTTCGTGGATTTCCCATGTACAAAAAGTGCGCGCGCAAAACCGCTGGAGGCTCCATCGCACTCATGAAAAACCTCGGGCACTGTTATTGCTCCAACCCATGGACAAACTCTGCAGAGGGCCTTAGGCTTGGTATGCCTTTCGCAAGTCCCCCTCAACAGATATCGCCCCCCCCCCACAAAAAAATGGCCATGGGTCAACATCCCGTACCCCCAGTGAACATCCGATTCAATCCCCACTAAAATAGACCAAAATGGGTGGTGCCCCTACCCCAAAATGGTGCCATTGGTTTTGACCCACAGCCAAACGAGGGTTCAATAGATCCGGGAAGCTCCTTTTTCTAAGCGGGATTTGCAAAGCGTGTCAGCCTTGCTAAGGCCACCGCCCGGCTCGTTTGGCCACGATTTCATCGCGACGGCTGACCAGACTTAAATTATGGGCTCACTCGCCTGAAAACGGGACCAGACTGATCAAGCCCCTGCAAAAAGACAACTGTTTGCTGCTTGCAATGGGCAAAGTATGGAACACCAAAAAGTAAAAAAAGCTAACTGAACAGAAACTCGGTTGCTTTCTTCTCCCCTGCTAAAAGTTTAACTTTTAGTGGTTTAGTGGAAAACCCATTAGTTGGCAACAAGTTAAAGTCCTAACAGCCAAGCAAAATGCACCAAAGGAAAAGCTAAGTCTGGAAGTTGAAAAGGGTGATCCAACACTCGGGGACCAAGTGTGAACCAAATGAACAGTTTACCCCGTTGACCCTGTCGAGCGCTTCCAGCTACCACTACAGTCCGGCAGCGCAGACACATGCACTTGACAATAGCAAGCAAGAGGCTTTTAATCTGCTGATCTTTATGGGCGTTTGCCTATTTTAACGCCCGAATCGGCTAGCTCGTTCTTTGCCCAGAACCACACGCTTCCTGAGTGCCCAAAAAAGGCCATGGTTTTGCATTTGCCAAAGGATCTTGGGCCCTCAAACTACCCCTTCGAAAGGGAACAAATACACGACATCATGCGTTGCAATATCCCCATGTTTTAAGTTGGAGGGCCAGGTTCCAAAAAAAGCTTGGTGTTTGCCACTAAAACGGTCTTCAATCAGCGACTCTTCAGGAACGAAGTGAGCCCAAGAATGGGTCGAGTATTGGCTCGAAAAGGAGGATCCAGGAAGCTCCTTTTGGGAGCTTCGGGATTTTCTGAGGAAAGTTGTAGTACACCCTGACACTGGGTGTTCCCCTGCAAGAGTGAAGAATCCCCGCTACAACCAGAGACACCCTTATATATATATATATATAAACATTTACGTTGGTGGAAGCTTCCCTTGTCGATAATTCAGCTGTCAACGCATTCCTTGCTTAATCGCACGCGATATCTGACCACTCTCCCTGCAAGCCAAACGTGCACGGAGTTTGCAGTGTAAACAAGGCAAGCCAAACAGAGCAGCCCCGTAATCCCAGGGTGTAATTCAACTTGCCTCAGATCGATCTGTGCAAAGCGTGTCAGCCAGGCCACCGCCCCATTCGTTCGACCGCGATTTCATCGCAGAGGCAGCTGACCAGACGTAAATTATGGTCTCACTCGCCTGAAACCGTGCCAGACTGATCCAGCCCCTGCAAAAGACAACTGTTTGCTGCCTGAAATGGGCAAATTATGGGACACCAAAGAAGTGATCCAACACTTGGGGACCAAACATGAAACCCAATGCAAGGTGTACCTTTCCTAGTTCCAGCCACCACTATAGTCCCGCAGCGCAGAGAACATTCACTTGATAGCCTAAAACATGATTCCACGACCGGAATTGAGGGATCCCTAAGTGCAGAAGCTTTATGGGCTTTCGCCCGTTTTCATCCCCGAATCGGCGAGCTCGTTGTTTGTCCAGAACCCCACTTCCTGAGTGGCCAAAAGCAGTCCAAATGTGTTTGGCAGTAAAAGGGCTGGTGGTTGGGACCTCCATTTTGCTCGTTGGCAAGCGGGTAAATGATCCGTCCCAAAAATCCTCGAAAGTCGACTTCTGGATCCCAGGCAATGAGCCAAAAAAAAAGACGAGCAGCGAATTGATTGCTCACGTGATAAATCGTTGAGCTGAACGCCTCACGTGAGCATCTCCTTGTCCTTGGACTTCGACGCAGACCTCACCTCAATGGGGCGTGTATCCATGTCCCAGTGATTGGTGCCAAAACGCAGGGTAAAACCTACAAGAACAAACCTGGCCACCTGTGCTGGGTCAGCTTTTCGCAAATCAAATCATGAGATTCTGGACCAATTCAATTGTGATGTATATGGCTATGAATTTCAATGGGGAACCCCCTGAAAAGGCTTTCCCCACCTAAATAATGTCCACCAGTCAATTAAAATTCATACCCATATTAACCAAAACCTACCCCCTACTCCAAATACCCTCTGTTTTCAGGGTATCATGTCGACCCTACTAAAAAGGGAGGCGTTTTGTTTCCATGGAAAACCAGGTTTTCCCAACAATACACTGAAAAAGAGAGAGGGTATTTTGAGTAGGGGGTAGCCACCAACCAAGACCCAACCTGCATAAATTCCTGTACCATGAAAGCAATCAACAGTGAGTAGGTTGTAGTGGCTTCATGGGCCTCCCCCAAATGGGCAAAATGGGCCGGTTCGGAACCCTGGGCCCTGGGTTCGACTTTGAGGCTTCGGGTCATCCCTGTGGATGGACGAAATCCATTTCGCACCACCGTTCAGAATCCCTGGAATGATGATTCCCATACAAATACCAACAAACAATGGTTTTCCCTGGTTTCAAAGTGGTGCAGGATTTCGTTCACAGTAGTACCTCGCTCGGAGGTTGGCCCCTGAAATGTTCAATGGTTGGAACCACTAGCGGCCCTTGTGGCCTAGTCTTCCAAACCTCAGCTGTGTCCGCACTTTGTGAAGCTTGGAAGGTAAAATGTGCTTGACATGTCAATCAAACACGGAAATGAATTTGGGAACCGCACAAGTGCGAAGATCCCCCTTGACTCCCTTGAACAGAGCCCTGGAGAAGGTGCTAGCAACACTCCGGTACCAGTACGTAACCCAAGAATCCTGTAGCCCTTCGATCCCGTGAGATGTCCCGGATAGTATCTACAGAGAAACATCCACAAACACGTGGTGTTCTTGTTTGTTGCGCTTTCTGCTGTTTTTGCCTTGCCGGTGGGCTCGTTTATTTGTTTCCCGGCCCCGTGTTGCGCCGGCATTCCCAATGCAGATGCTTGGGACATAAAATGTCAAAAGCTACTCTGGATTTCCATATTCCTGTGCCAGCAAGTGGTTTTAGTATTCAAAGGGTTCATCCATCCCAACTGGTGCCCAAACCACGCCTTGCTTTTAAGGCACTATTGTTAGACAACCTCCTGTTGGCTTTCATTTCAAATGGAACAAAGGCTGGTTGCTTAAACAATTGCTCCCAACCTTGCTAAAAGTCGACATTCTTTTTATGGCAGTGACGGTAGGATCTTAGATGCGCTTCTTTGGTGACCTTTGGCTGGATCAACCTTTGCTAACCTTTGGTACTGCGTGCTGTTTGGCAACTAGAGTCTGCATTCTCTGCCCCTTTCACCATCTACCCATCATTTCAACTCTTCCATCTCCTTTTGTTTTTGTCGAAAACAGCCCCGTGAAAGTCGAGACTCTTTTAGTCCGATTTAGGGAGCTATACCCTAGAGCCATCCTTTTTCAAAGGGAGCCCGGGGCAGAAGAACGTGTGTCTGAAAACACAACTTGCCACACACACTCACCTACCCCTATTTTGCGTTCCCTCAAAACAATATGGCCCGCTATTGATCACACGTAAGGTAGCATGTTTTTACCGATTCTTTTTGAATCAATCTCTTTTCGTTCGCCTCAGGAAACCAGGGTTTAGTTTACAAAGACCACTGCCTGCATCTTCTCTGTGACCCCCCAAACCAGTAGCTATTGTTTACACAACGACCTCTTTTGTTTCTTAACGGGAGCCAAAGATCGAGGTTTGGGTCTGTCTTTGTCACAAACAAACCATGTCCCCACCAGGGCCGAATGTGAAGTTTGACATGCTCTCCTTTCCATCTCCTTCAATGTTCAATCCTAAACCTAGGACTCCATGATTCTAGTCAAGGGCAATGTAAGATGTACCAAACCTTGACCCAACGATGGCACTCAGTTGTTCAAACGCCGCAACCCCCTACCATTACCATGACAAAACTATATTCCCTCCAGTTTCCACCCGAGGTTGGCTGTAACGTTGGCCCCACCCCCCGGCCCAGTCAAGCAAGGGCGTTTCTTGTTGGTGGGGATTCATTTCTTCTGGGGGCCTGACTAGTAACTGGCGGGGCTTTACCAGTCAGGGGGCAACCTTAAGATCTTGCAACCAACTGCACCTGTTTTTCTTTTAAAGGTTCCCCCAAAAAAATGGATTCGGCTTCCCTTGGTTTAGCTCCAAGGCATCGGGGGAGAAACCCCCCCCCAAAAAATTCGCATTCGATCCGCCAGGACCCAGGACCGGTCCAGGTTTCGGCACGCTTTCCCTCGAAACGAAATAGGCAGAGTTCTCTGCCGCAACCTTCTTCCCCACCCCCGTTGGTTGGTGCGTGTTTTGGGGGTGTGCAGGGTTCACCCTTGGACGCTGTTGTGAGGTGGCTGTAAGATGGTACCAAACCTTGATTAGGCGTTGGTGGTCTGAGATAGTTGGCAATTAGTATGTGTGTGTGCGCGCCTTTTGGGGCAAACCTTTTTCACCCTTGGTTGGCAGGGGACACCTTTTTTTGGGGTTTGCGGTAAGATGGTACCAAACATTAGACGCTTTTTTGGGTTGGTTGTACCCCAGGGGTTGGTTCTCTGAGATGGTACCCATCTCCTTCCCCGCGTCTCTCATGCGTCTCATGCGCGCATGTGCTCGCCTGGAAGAGCGGGGAGGGGCGCAGGCGCCGCACCCAGAGTAAAGCCGCCCAGTCCGGCAGCAGCGCACACAGGGTGCCCAAAACCTATGGCCCAAGCACTTGGCTTCGGTCGAATGATTTGTTAATTGGTATTGGTTCTGTTTAAAGAACCTGTGAACCACAAGATTTAGTGAGCTGTGCACTTAGTTGTTTATAAATCACAACTATTTTGCTTGTGTTTAACACGCAAAGATGAATGGGTGTATATTTTGGAGCTAACACCCCTTTTTGGGGTTTGCTTGAAGGGAAGTCAAAAGGACAACTGCACATTCTGGGGAGTCGCCCAAAAGAAAGACACCCATTTATGGAATGTGTAAAACCAACACGAGAATTTGGAGGTGCGAATTTCTTTAGGAGAACCCCTTGTGGTTTGGCTTTAAAGGAAAGGCAAGGGACACCCACCCATTGTTGGGGGTAACCTGTTTAAAGACACACCCAAACAACTGTGCAGTGGCGTGTTGATAATCAACACAAATTATTCATGTGTCTTTGTTGACTAGTCGACTTACTATGATTTGTCAACATGGTTTACACTGTGCATGTATGTATGCATGCACGTACGTTCAGACGGTCTGTCTCTGTCTTTCTGTCTGTCTCTGCCTGTCTGTCTGCCTGCCTGCCTGCCTGCCTGTCTCCCTCCCTGTCTCTCTGTCTGTCTCTGTCTCTCTGTCTCAGTTTGTCTCAGTTTGTCTCAGTCCGTCTCCGTCTCCGTCTCCGTCTCCGTCTCCGTTTCCGTCTCCGTCTCCGTCTCCGTCTCCTTCGCCGTCTCTGTCTGTGTCTCTGCCTCGGTCTCTGTCTGGCTGTCTGTATCTGACAAGTGTTATCTGCTTCAAATACATCTAACAAATGTAAACGACACCAATTCGGAGGACACCACCATGAGTAGTTCAACCATCCAGTGGTAGGCGCCTGCCTTCCTTCGGGGCGCGAGAAGGACCTCTTCGGTTGCCAAGCGGCCATCATCAGCAATGGCTCCATATTGCTGAAGATCCACCCAGGCACTGGTGGGTCCCCCGCCAGGTTGGGCTGCATCCGACTGCGAAGAAGAAAAAAAAAACATGCGTTCGCGGTCATGCAGTCGACGGGTCGACCCTCAAACTACAATAACGAAAGGGAAGTCACCCCACAACTGTGGGTTGAAATATCAACGATTCCAAAAAGGTTCCAGGTAGCGATTTCTTGCATTTCCCATGTTTTCAGGGGTCGTGCTCTTCAAAAAAATGGGGAACCCCAAACCATGGGAAGATGGGAAACTGATTTGGAAGAGAATGGTGGGTTGGGGAATCAGACCCTGGAGCCAGCTGCATAAAAATGAGAAAACAAATCAGGCGGGTCTAAACTTCGGAGGGTCTTTTCCATAATTCCGGTCAGGCTGAAGGTATCTCCCTGCGGCCCCGCTGTTCGTTGAGCTCGCGTCGTGTGTCCTTCCCGTTTTCTCCTGCTTCTTTTCGCGGGCTTCTGTCAGATCTAAACACTCGGACCCTGGCGTTGCGTCAAAAGGAACCAAGGAGGGTGTTGAGACAATTGCCCAGACCAGCGGCCATGGGAAGATTTCTGCAATTGGCACCTGTTCTAGCAGTTAAATCGAGTCCCCTCCAGAAAAAGAAAGACAGAAAACAGGTCAGAACTGGCTTGCCATATTTGCTCTTTCTTTTTGCACGGGGTATCCTCCAGCGTCAAGCGTAGTTCTGATAGAGTAGCCCATGTGCATTCCACACCGGCATGTTTCCCGGCGTGTCACGGCATCAGCGAGTTGTTTTTACGGGCCTTCCGGAAGGCACATGCTGTTTTGCCTTCCGGTTTCCCCTACCCCGAAAGGGGTTCCTCTCCGAAAAACATGCACACGATGTTCGCGGATTTCGAGCACCAGCTCTCGCCAATGAGTTGGGTCCTAAACCCCTTGGAGAGGCTGAAACAAACTCACTCCCTCCAGCGACCCAAAAAAGGAGCCGCCCGAAAAGATGACGAGGCTCAGAACGGATGGCCTTTTTGGGTGTGAAAACCTGCCGAAAAGGGGGGGAGACGCTGACTACACATGCGTTGTTTTACCTCCAGCGTGTTTTTCCCGTGCCGCTCCCTGACCAGGTCTGGCCTCCTGTGCATGGTCAAACCTTTGTTGCAACAACCCGCTGATTTTAATTTAGCAGCGAGGGGGTGATGCAATATTGGGCTTTGAGAGGGGACAAAGCTTTGAACCAATGTCGGCTTCCTGAACAGTGGTTTTAGCAACAGGCGCGAATGTCTCATTGTTGAAGCCAATTTTGCCGCCAACCCGGTCGGTCAATGAGTCAAGAACGTGACGCCGGCCTCCCGATGGAGGTGTAGCCCAACAGGAAGAGCACCTCAGTTGCCCCAAGGATCCAGAAATGCATGGCGATCGCCTTTTGGGGTCAAATTGGACAAAAGTGCACCAAGGACCAACATTGCCCAAACATGAACCAACATGGTCAAAAAGGGCTATGGGAAATGACCACTTCTGCGATACAACAGAAAGGGCTTCCCAAATTGCCTAAGCCCCCCCCCAAAAAAGGAAGCGAGATTCCTCAAAGTATCACAGAAGTGGGGGATAAACCCCGAGTGATCAACTACAACCCTGTGGTCCAAAGGTCGGCTGGGCAGGGCGCCAGCAGATAGACCGCCAAACTCAGCGCCAGCGGGCCCAGGGTGGCCGCAGAGCAGCGCTGCAGCGAGTGCAGCACCAGCTTCAACGTGACGATAAAGATCACCAGCCTCGCGCAAGCCGTGGTGTGCGTGATATGTCCCTTTTCCCTAACCAATAAAAACACCATTTGAAAACCCAAAGAGAAAAATGGCGAAGGATTACTTGCTATTTGGGGGTACCTGTTTTGGGTTTGGTGTAAAGGGACAAGCCAAAGTGTATCAATAGTCCACCATGTGCTTAAAGGCTACCCCCGAATTCAAGGAAGATACCCCTACACCCTTACCCAGGGGTTCTGCATGGACCGCAGTTGTCCGCTTCTCTAAGGCCAGACGGAAACCAACCTTTTGAGAGACCTCCATTTCCTTAAGTCCCCTAAAGAAATCGAGAAACGATTTCCAGTGACAAACATATTCTCAAGCAAATGGAAGGAGATCGCCGATTTAGAGACACGCCTTGATAAAGAACGCCAGCCTCGGGTATGTGCCAAATGGAAGCCCAACTCGAAAACGTGGTCAGGCCCCCCCAGTGCTTGAAGTGACATGGACAGGCACAGAGGACCGAGACAAGTAGAACCACTGAAAAAACATGTGGCAAGTTTAAAGGCAAGCCAAAGTGAAAATGTCACATCTTGTGGGCCCCCTATTTTGACACGTACGCCTGGACCCTCAAATACCCTGGACAATGGGACATTTAAATGCAGGCAGACACCCCCTATTTCGAGACCCAACCTGTAGTTGAGACGCTAACATATGTGTAGAAACAGGGGACCTTCTAAATAATTGGAATCCAAACTTTCTCAAAAACAGAGGTATCCGCCCCGAAAAAGACAGAAGCAAGTATGGGCTTGTCTTAAAAAAGGGAGGAAACCCGTAAAATGGTTGGTGTCGTTTTGGTTTCCCTTCAAAACCCACCAAAAGTGATTTCCCCCAAAAAATAAATAAATACACACACACAAAAGAACACGTCCCTTCAACACCAACCAAAAGCAGGTCCCCCGTCCCCCTCAAACAAATAACTAAATAAATAAATAAATAGAGCCCACTCCGAGCAAGGCGCGTGAAGGAGGTGGTGGAGGCGCGCCAAAAGTCCGGTGACTCGTAGTCCGTGGGAAAGCCGAAGGCCGCCGAGGGCAAAAGCCAGGCGAGGCAGCCGTGGAACCAGGCGGCCACCATCCAACTGCTGAAGATGAAGGCGTTGAACCACTGCCTGGGATAAACCAGGGTTCCGTTTTTTGACTACCTGAAGGTAGACGTAAACCCAGGGGTTTCCCAACTATTGCTGGGTTTAAGTCGACTTTGGGGTTGTCAAAAAACGGAACCCTGCAACAAACGACCTGGACCCTCCAAACTCCCTGCAAACAAAAAGGGGAGAACCACCCCATCATGTGGCAACATCCCATGTTTGAGGGTGGCTTGAGGGTCGAGTCCTTGTCTTCTTAGCATGTGTTTTGGGTTTACTAGGTTCTCCAGTAGAGAGGTTAGATTAAGGGTACCCTTTTTTCTGTAGTCTATTTTAGTAGGGGAACCCTCCCCCAAAAAAGGGCGAAGGGCACCACTGGGGGACCTAGTATAGTTGGCTTTACTTTCAGGCTTCATTGTTGTTTTTGGGAGGGCATGGTGGATGTGCCACATACTGCAAGTGAACCAACCAAAACCAGAATGCCAGGCGAATTGCAGCAAATTGGAAGGCGTCCCTTTTGCTGCCCTACTTGCAATATTGGAAGCATGATTTTGAGGATACCCGCTTTAAGGGTGGCTGAAGGGGAAATTAGAGGAAACCACAATTTTAGGGTACCCCTGATTTTTGACACATACACCATGATAAAAGTTCATGGCACAATTCTGTTGTTGTGGGTAAGTAAAGGGGACAATCAAACCAACAGGAAGGGCATCCACAACCCCCTCGCCTCTGCAGGCCTTCCAAATAGATGCCCGGAGAGGTATTCGCCACGGCATCATCGACGTCCTGTCAGCCGGACCCCAGAAAAGGGCTCCGACCCCGAACGGCACGCCGTCCAAAAGCTCCCCCTGTTTGAAGGCCCAGAGTCGTAAGCCTTTGGGCAGATCTGAACAAACATTCTGATCACTTCAAGGGCATTGCAGCTCGCCCACACCTTCTTTGAGGTCTGTTACTCCTGTGTGCTTTCCCAAGCACGGAAGATACCCCGAAGGAAAAAAGCAAGCATAAGGAATGGGTAGTTCAGCCGCCAAAAACGAATAAGAACAAGGATTGATTGTTGGAACCATCCCGAATCAAACTGAACTAGGAAGTTCTGAAAGACCCCTACTCCAAATACGGGCTCTTTGTTGACGTATAATTGGTTAAAGGCCACATCTTCCTAGTGAACGCCTCCTTTGTTGGGCAAGGCTTGACATCATGCACTAGAAAAATGCCTTTGGAGTCACTAGGGGTGTGCAGCGTTGCGCCACACATACCTGCTTTTCAACTTCTCCAAAATGGCGATGTCCGATTTTGTTCAGATCCCTCCCCCCCCCTCGGCAAAAGCATCCGCAGTACATGGTTCGCCTTCCTCTGCCAACTCAGTACGCAAGAGGCGCAGTTGCCGGAACTTCATTGGTCACCCCTCGGCCAAGGGGCGGTGAGGAAGCCCCCCCGGCTCTCTTGGGGTATGATAGTCAACCCCTGACTTACAAATGCGCATACCCCCGGAAAACATTGGAACCAGGTAAAAGAACCACCTAGAAAGGTCAACAAACGCCAACAAACATCGGCTTCGCTCAGGTGACATTCCCCACTCCCCTCGAAACATCACAAATGGGCCCAAAAGGGTTGTTCCCTATGGGATGAACCAGCTTGCGTGGTTAAAGCGAGGGAATTTGAGTGAGCAGCTTCCCAAGCTGGTTCAGTTTCGTGGGAGAGAATCAGTGAACAAAAAGGATATAGCTAAATCCATGCGTGGTGATTGTCCTTTATCAAGGGGTAGGTTGAGGCTCTAGGCACAAAAACAAAACAAACAAAAAAGAAAATAAAAGACAAAACACGAACAAGTATAGGGCCCCAAAAATATGTCCTGGTCGAAGGCAAGGACAATGATCACGGGCCAGGAGGTGAAAAGCGCGTTGAAGGAGGTGGACAGCCACTCCGGGTACGCCACCTGCCGCAAGCGATTTCCGTGTGACCCAAACTCTCAGTAGCCGCGTGTATTTTTAGGTTGGACACACCAAAATGGCTTCGTTGTCCTTTTGGCCCCCCGTCACAACCACCAAGAAAACAGGTACCCTCAAAATAGACACCCCCAAATCAAATGTTGAGATGATGACTCCGATTTGAGATGATAATAAGACACATATACAAAACAAACAACAACGCAACAGCTATCCTGCACCCAATGACTGCTTTGCCCCATGTTCAAGATCTGTCCAAAAGTAGTCGCTGGGCATGTGTTCCTTCCGAACGCACGGACAATGTTCTTATTTGTTCCACCCAAGAGGACCTGGCAACACTGGGCTGTCCAATGTCCGCTGCTGTTTGGGAAAAATGTGCCATGGTGGTCAAGCAAGTGGTTAATAGCGCTGATTCCATTTCACTGAACGGGCAGCGTGGGAAGTGGGCTACCATGGATGCTACACTCTCACCATGCAGTTGGGGGTTTCTCAAAATAGTGGACCCCTTTTTGGGTTGGTTTCAGGGAAAACACACATTTTGTGGGTTTCCTATGTTGAGAAACACCCACTTATCTAGGTGTTCTTTTTTTTTCTTTCTCGGATTTGCTTTTCGGGTGGGGGTAGCTTCCTGGCACACCCTGATTGCTTTTCGATTGGGTTCTTGCCTTTGACATCCGTCAGAATCGGATAAGTAAGTCAGTCCTGTGTGTTCGTGCGAAAACACACGGATTGCACGTGATCCAAGAACCCACACAACACATGTGTGAGCAGAATGTATTCACGTAGGTATATGACAGAAACTGTATCTGCATGAATATTCTGTATGTTGTATTCTTGTTCCCGAAGCAGCTTCGTGCAAATTAGGGGGCTGGCAAAAAACAAACAAACAAGACACCACTACCCATCCGTGTTGGGGTCCCTGTGGGCATTTTATTCAGTGTGGGCTATGCTACAAACAAATCGCAGGAGCTAAAGTCGCCTCTCCGCTGAAGCCGTTCTGATGGGCCCAAATGAGATCACCCCAAGCCAGCGCGGCGTTCTTGTAGAGGTAGTAGCCTCATGCCGTTGGTCGGCTGATGGCTCGGTGAAACGCGATGATCCCAAAACGGGGGGGTTGGCTGTGGGAAGCCAAAGGGAGACCACCCATAGGTGTTTTGATATTTTGAGACCGTTTGTTTTGGGCCATTTGCGCTTCGGCGCTTGTAGGGTTCAAAATCAATCCTTAGTCCTTCCACCTAAAAGAAGCTCCAATGCCAAGTGGGTGTGCCTTTTGTGAGGGTTTCCCCTTTTTGGATGGCTGTAATGGGAAACCACAACGAACAACCCCTCAGCTGGGTCTCCGCCCAAACAAAGACGAGCCAGGCACGTGAAGGCGAAGGACCTGATTCCAAAAGTTGAAGTCTAAGTGGGTACCTGTCCCCTCAAACCACCTTGCCAAAAAGGGAAACACAATCATCGATCTAAGTTGCAATGTCCCATCTGAAAGGGTAGCTTGCGGGCCCCTTGTAATTGCGTCTACGCCCCCCCCTCCCAACCTCAATTTTGAAGAATTCAGGGTCGGCTTTCTGAAAGGGGGGGCAGCCCCACGCAACTGGCAGCACTTCCAACCACTTCAGGGATTCGAATCCCTTTTGTAGCAAACGGGCACGTTTCTTTTGGGTTTCTTGCCGGGTGAAAGACCGGGTGACCAGCCGCGGTGATAAAAATATGGGTCTGACAAAGAACCATCAGAAGGAAAGAACCAAATGCAACATCGACCTACCAGTCATTTTGACCACACGCGTCTATGGAATCCCCCTCTTTAAAGCCTGTGGTCCTCGGCTTTGGTCAGCCAGTGCACTCCTGAAAATGATTAGCTCGTTCTTGGTTCCCCTTTACTGCATTGAACCCCTAAAATGGATGGCTCCTTTTGGTTTCCCTTTGACATCACCCAAAAAGGGGCTGCCCGTGACGAAAAGACGACCCCACATTGGGAAAGGCAACCGATTTGATGTTGAGGTCGCAAAACAATCGATTGCTGACCAAGGGTCCGTTTCCTTCTACGACAATCCTCTGAACAGTAAAAATCACAAACTGGAAACAGGGAACTTTCAAGGAATGATCTTGAGCTCGCTTTACCCCTTGGCGAGCTCGCATAGTAAGTCGAGCTTTTTTTTCAGTATAACGCATGACACATGCTATGGCAAATAATAATTTGGACAATTACCATGACCACAAGAGCAGTTGTGCTAACAAAGAAGAACTGCACTTAATATGTGAAACAATAGTGACATGAGGAATACTAATACATGAATGAATATGCGTTAGTTCAGATCTTATGGAGGAAAACCAGACCCCTGATCCCCCCAAGAAGAGTTCTTAGAAGCTCCTCAGAAGGGGTTCTGATCGAAGGGTTCGGATCAAACCGTTCTGGTGGGCCAACCATCGGCCCCCATACTCCCAAAACAGATCCCAGCTACCAGTATAGTAGGAAACCCTCCACAGACCAGAACCAGCGGCCCCCGTAATCTCAGTAGATCCCAGTGATACCACTATAGTAGGTAGCCCTTCACAGCTGTAGCATTTTGCTGGGCTATCGAGGGGCCCCATGATCCCAAAAAAGATCCCAGTTCCCGGTACAGTAGGTAGCCCTTCACAGTCCCTTTGGTTTCAGCGCTGCGTCGAAGTCCCAACCTGGGACTCTGGCACAGGAAGCTGGCGATGCGGCGATAGGCGCGGCGCCCGTGGCACAGCAGCAAGGGCACCAGGAACCGAAACCTCCGGAGCCAGGGATTTCTCCGCGGGGAAAAGGGCTAATGGCGCCCAGCTTGCTGAATTTTAAAGGAAACCCCGCTTCAAAAGAAGTGGAAAAAGGGCACTACTGCAGGTCTGGGCCGAGGATTCTTGGCACCAAGGAATTTGGCTGAATTTTCAATGGAAGCCCTGAATATTCAAAGGAACCCCGCTTCAAAAGAAGTGGCACAACTGCACCACTTAATCATGGGACCTCAAAGTGATCCAAACCTTTCTCAACGAAGATGCAGACCCTCTAATCAAAGGTCCACTGCTGCTTGGGGTGGCATATGGTGGAGTGATTCTAAGGGTTGATTCCCCATTATCTTCACACATCGTCCTCTTTCAAAACGATCTGTTTTCCTATTTCTGAAGAGAAGGATCCCTGAAGCGAATGGACATGGAAGGTACGGCTAGAGTGGTGGAAAAGAACCTTATGCCAAAGTGGGGTTCCCATCCCGAACTGCGACATCTCACTGAAAAAGCTTTCCCTTGTCCCGGCAAGTGGTCGTATATGTCCAAGCTATGGACTGGATGATAGATGGCACCTTGGCACGAATACTCCCCAAAAAAAAAGGAAGTGTAGCACCCTTTGCACACATTAAAGTGGTGCTCTAATCTGGCGCTTTCGACTTTCTGTGTTCATTGGTGAAAGTTGTGCTCTTGAACAGGTTGGATGCTTACAGAGCAACTGCCGGATCTGGGTGAAGAGTACTGAGTGTGGGAATGATCCCAAACCTTGGACACATGAGTCATAATCAAAACCCGGTACAAAAATGGCCAGCCCAGAACCATGTAAAGAATTAAGAAGGCGGCCGCAACCATTTTTGGTTGGGATTGTCCCTTACTAACCTCCACTTACCCGGGCTTTGATTGTGACTCACATGTTCTTCGATAAACCCGCAGACTTCATCCCCTATGAACCAAACGGGCCGCGTCCTTTTCAAAACGACGCCTCTGGGTTGATCGCAACTGCGAGTTGACTGGAAATACTGAACAAGTGTTGCCAGGAGAAAGGTTCAGTTTGCTCACTGGCCAAAAACCAGCTAAAGATCAGTGTTTACACTTCTTGAGTGTAAAGTGTGCCCACTGGTTGGGTGAGTTTACCATAAAATGGCACGACTCAGCTGGGAGAAAGGGGCCTGGAGATTTGTGCAACCAACTATTTTCCAGAGACTAAAGCTCCAACTCTTAGAATTTTGGGCACTTAGCAGTTGAATGGAAAGGGGAGGGGAGGGACCCTCCAGAAGAACACAACAAGGAAATGCTCTACCGGAGGTGTTGGGGGACAACGAACCCATCATGACTCTGGGCCAGACCGATCCAACCCCTGCAACGAGTGGCAACCTGTTGCCGGTAAGGAGAATTCAAGGCAAAACAGGAGGGGAAAAGTGACAACGTTTCGCTACAAAGCTGCTTGTGTGCTTCGAGACCTTGAGGGGTCAGCCACTCTGGGGAAAATGTGCAAGAACTCGATCAAACAGAGAAGAAGTCTGTGAAAGCAGAAGGCACAGTTCCCTGTCTCTGGGTAACGGGGATGACCAAACCAACATGGGATCAACTTGCACACGACTACTCTCATGAATTCCCTGGCCACTATTAGAACAATCGGGGGAATGTGTTTCAACCTAGGTCAGAAGTGTAAGACTGGATTTAAGCTCACCCCTATGTCAGCCAGGGGCATATAGCTCTTGGGCTAGTTGATCCTAAGGCTGGGTAAGACAAAGCCCTAACTTACCCTTAAAACTCCAAGGTCTGGGGAAGTTCTCATCTTTTACAGACATATAGCCCATGTTACCCAAAAAAATCAGAAAAGTGTTGTGTTTTTCAGAGGTAAGCTAAGATCGGCTGTGGGGCCCCCGGCTGCGAGATGGCGATGTCGCTCGCCTGGACAGCCTGGGATCCCTCCTGCGCATGGGCAACCCCCACGGTTGCGATGATTGGCGCGGAGCTCGAGGGAGTCTCAAAGGGGCGCCCAAAAATCGTCCATGTCCTTTGGGTTTCCCTTGAAATACTAACCAAAAAACGTGTCCTTTGGGTTTCCCTTGAAATACTAACCAAAAAGTTTGTCCACTATTTTGAGAAGCGTGCAATTGGAAAGGGGCGGCGGGGGTGCTTTTAAGACCATCGCCGTGAGAGTGGAATGCCAGTTCTGTAGCCCCTTGACCCTTCAAAAATGAGGGCCACCCCGAAATGATGGGCACATAGCCATATGACTGAAGGGGATCAAACACTCAAGATATATGCCCCAGACTTACCGGTCACGTAGTATAGGCATTACATATGTAATATATATATATATGTATATATATATATATGTATTTACAAATTTGGTACCCCATGGATCTACCTTCCTTCAGACTTCACTGGTATGTGCAGTGTTTTCTGCCTTTATCTGGGGCTTTGGGGAAAGCAGCCAAACAAAAGGCGCATTTCCAAAGACAATCTGAAAGCTTTAGGCCAAACTGTTCCAGAGAATCTTGAATCCAGCTGGTTTGGACCTACCTCTGTCCTTTTTCTAAGCTGAGGTTTGGTCAGAAGATGCCAAACAGCATCTATTTGGAACCACTGGCCCAAAAGTGACAAAGTAAAGAAGTAGAATTCTGGAGCCAGTGACCCAAAAGTAGAAAAATACCAACATCTGGGGACAATGGCCAAAACTATAAAGTGAAAAGTAAACATAAATACGAATAAAAATATTTCAGCCCATGGTCAAATCGTTTTACTTCAGGACCATGGGCTGATGTGTTCATTGTTTTACTTTTTGTTTTGTTGCTTTTACTGTTTTACCTTTGCTTTTTCATTTGTATTTTTCCTACTTTTGAATCTTTTACTTCTGTACTGTTTTACTTCTGAGTCTGTGGCTTTAAATTTTTCACTTTTGGGCCATGCTCCAACATAGCTGCTGTTTTGCATCTTTGACTCACGATTATAGGAATCGGACTTATTTCTCGCAGATTCAGGAAACATCCTTTTTGGCTCAAATAAACTCTCTGTTGTTTGCTTTTAGCGTTTTTGCTTAGAATTCGAAGTATTTGATATGGGATAAACACCAAAGCATCAATTAAAATTCCTGCCTCAAAAAGAATTGAAACCTGCTTTTAAAGGATATTGTCCTAGGGTTGTGTTTGTTCAATTTTCTTGATTGAAGTGGAGTTCAAAATGGAACAAACCCTTGTAGAGTTTCTAGTTTAAAGAAAATTCACATAGGATTTCCTTGTCGGACAAGATGCGCAATCAAACTCCTATTTCAAACTAGATGTTCAATCGCGTTGACTGTCGGCATAATTTCAATAGAAATTACTAAGGACATAAGTCTAATAAAATGTGTCATCTTAAAGAGACTTTGCATAGGTTTTTTTAAAGACGGTTTGTGCAAAAGGATGCCTTTCCACGTCGGCTTGTTCAGTCATCTAATTAGAACTTAAATAGAAACTAAAAAGTCTTGGGCCAGGGCCACCAGAAACTTGGTGAATTGGCTTCTCAGCGTGTTCTTCCTTTTGCAGAACACCCAAGAGAAACCTGGTGGTGAACGAGGCACTGCATGTTGATGCCGATCAAGTCCCTTTTGAGCGATCTTGCCAGTCCATGGCTCAAAAGGGGCCACTGCATCTCGCTTGTATGTTCTGGCACCATCTCCATGGATACTTAATGGTACCAATTTGGAGGCGTCAAGAAGCCCATCGTCCAAGTGCGAAAACACAGCAAGCTCAGGCTCCGACGCCCTCTAGGCGGGTCCAAAACTCGTTCGGTGTCTTCACGAGTAAAGTGACCTCCGCATCACACGCTGAATTGGGTCCTGGCTGCTCTCGTCATTGCTGGCATTTTCTGCGTCGCTTGCAGACGACCCTGTCCACAAAGTCTTTGCCAAGTCTGCCTGGACCCGGAGCTGCGATTTCCAATTTTTTGCTGTTGTTTTTTACTATTTTTTGCCTAATCTTGGCCAGACGAACGCATGTGCAAAAAATAGCAATACTTAGCAACCCTCTCGTTGTTTTGGCGGGCTGGAAGCTGATTTTGCGAGAGGGTTGCTGATTTTTGCTAATTTGCTAATTTGTACTACTTTTTTGCTAATTTTTGCTAATCTTGGCCAGCGCTTGGCGAACGCATTTGCAAAAAGAAACATAGTTCCAGTGCAATTTCAATTTGCTAATTTGTTGCTATTTTTTGCTAAATAATTATTTGGTCATTTCCAAGGGACACCTGCCAGCGTCAGTCTGAAAAGTAACTTCCACATCCAGGGTCAAGTCAAACTTTCGTAAGGCCTTCGGCAAAGTTTTCTCAGCATCTTTCTTGCAACATTTTGCTATTGCATGGAATGCGCTGTTCGACGAGCCCGGCGCAAAGGCCTTCGCGATGTCAGCCACGTGGTTGGCCGCGGCCTTGGCGACAAGCAGGTCAATTCTAGCTCAAGTGCTGCGCATCAGCTTGGTTCTGGCAGCACTCTCTTCGATGAAGCTCACCGTTGGCCAAACTGGCTTCTAAGGCATCCTTGTTGCCATGGAACACGCTACCACAAGGCATGCCCTTGTTCTTGTCCTTCGCAGTGATCTGGTGGTAGGTCTTTTGTACTCCTGGAACTCATGGGCGTCTGTGCTCATGCGGTAGCTGCCATCACTTTGCTTTGTGAACAAGGAGTTGATCAAGTGGGTCTGAAACACCCTCTGAGAAGAAGCCGTCTTGCTCTCATTCTCCCACATGTGCGCAACGTGGGCCGGAAGAGCGCCGTTTTTGAGCATCTTGCCGAACTTTTCAGCCTTGCCCTTGTCCTGCAGCTCGTTGCTGGTCACAGAGACTTCTTTAGCTTCAGCATACGGCTCTTTCGTGCCCCGCTTCATGGTGTTGGGCTGTAGGCACACTGACACACAGTGAAAGCCGGACTGGGCTACCAAGCATTCAAACAAGGTGCAAGCCCCTCACAGTCAACAAACCCTCAAAAAAGATTGGGGAGGCAGGGGCTCAAGGCGCATGGCACGTCAGCCAGCACTTCCCGGCGTCCAGCAACAAAAGGTTGCAATCTGCGCTGTGCAAACTGCAGCCCTTACTGACCTCCTGCCTCCAACAAGCCTCCATCCTCCAAATCCCCGCGCATGCAATTGCGGAAAAGGGTTGCAAAAGGCAAGCTGCAGCGGGGCGCCTTCGCATTCCTGCCTCAGCTCTGAGCTTTTGCCAATATCAGTGGAAGGACAACGCAACAGTGGTTTTTTCGGCTTGCCCTTGAGTTGGGCGAACTCGGCGTGTAACAGATATCTTTCCTGCAGTCAACGCATGAGCGCTTCTGTTGCCTGCTATTGCGCAACACTTACAAGCACTTTCTGGAGCTCCTCCAAAACGCGTTAGCGTGCCAAAATGACACCTTTTTACACCACTCCAGCACAGGCAGCTGAATCTTTGGCTTGGCGGCATGTTTCCATGAAAGCTGGCTTGGCTGATGCCATCTGTCGGAACAAAGCAGCCGCTTCTTGATCCAGCAGCAGTAGATCTGGCCAAACGCACAGACGGGGCGAACCCCAAACCAAGCAATTCCTTAAGCCCGAAAAGGATGCCCAAGTTCAGCGAGACCCACAATTGGTGACCCAATTTGTGATTTGCATGCCCTTTAAGCCTCGAAATGCTCAATTGAGCAAATTTAAGGCTGAGGCGTTCTTTTTCTGCATAGCCCTGGCATTAGCCTAACCCTGGCTAATGCCCGGCGTGCACGAAAAGAGACACTAACGGACAAAGGTTTGCCTTTGAGCTAAATAATTGGTATTTTGCTAAGGGGAAGGAATAACCCGATTGTTTGGAAACAACCTGAAATCGAGCAGCCTTTGGAGGCTGCAGGCGCTCTCTATTTAGAATTAACTGGAATCTAATAAGGCAATAATTCAATGCAAGGTACTCTACATAGGACTTGCTTTTCAATTAAAAGCACATAACTGGAGTTGTTATTCCAAATCAGATTTTGAAGAGGATTTTCTTGCTGAGCTGATGCTGGTCAAGTCGCATGGGGCATTCCAAATAAAACAACTGCGCTCCATCTCCACTCAAACAGCAAAAAGGTAGATCCATCGGGGGGTTGTACATATATATATATATATAATATAGTAACGGAGCAGTCTTTGTCTCGATGTGTATATATATATACATATACATATAGATATATATAGAGATATATATCGTGTAGTGCTCCAGCTTCCTCTAGGCTCTCTGGGCGCCTTCCCACCAGAGATGTCCGCATCTCACCGAACCGCGTCGGAAAAAGTCAGACCCAACCGGGAACAACCGATGGGTGTCCATTTGAAGGGGCGCTTGCTTTTTCCAAGTCCAAGACACAGCCCCGGCGAGCCGAGCCTGACCACCTCGTGGCTTCCGCTGCGGGAGCCGCATGGGAAAATGAAAGTTGCTAAAGGGATTGGTGAGAATGGACATGGAACTACAGCAAAGCGAACCAACATGAACCAACCCATTCTATATATGGGTGTGTCTTTTTCTAGGGGACGGTGATCCTTGTGGTTTCCCTTTAAAGCCATGAAAAAGGGGCACCCTCGAAGCAAGACGGAGCCGTACAATCATGCAAAGCAAAGCGTGCTATCTCGCAAAAGTTGCTTGACTCGTTCTAATCACGCCGTGAGGTCCAAAAAGAAACGATAAACTCGAGGCACCCAGAAGCTCATGACTTGGATCCACGGAAGCTGGCTGGAGCTGTGCTTTTGGAGGGCCACCTTTTCTTGTTTCAGAGGGAATCAAAGGAAAACCGTTTCAACCCATTTGGAGACAAATTGGAGTTCTCCTTAAATTTGGCAAAGCCATCTCCGTCTCCTTTTTCCTTTAAGAGCTTCAAGGAAACCCAGCTCCGTACATCACTTGGCTTCCGCCAGGTGGGATTCCCCACTTGCAGTGGCTTTGTCGGCGTTGACGACCCTGGACCCTCAACCTGCCATGATTAACATCACCCCATAATTTTTGAGGCAATATCTTGTTTCGGTTAGTACTCTTTGTTTGTGGCTTTAACTGGAAACCAAAGGAGAACCCCCCCATTTTGGGCACACCCAAGTCCAGGAACGGGAGTGAGGATTACAAGCCTCAGAGTGACTCTCGAGGTCGACGTCATCTCCTTGCCGCGGATGCCGATGCCCAAGTGTGCCCCCGAGATCATCGGCACGTCGTTGGCACCGTCACCGATGGCAAGCGTGATGGCCCCGCTGTTCTTCCGCACCTGCCAAACAAGCCGAAGCCGAAAGCGAAGTGCTAAGCTGTCGCCCCATGATTACAATGCCTGGACCGGAACAAACATACCCAAAATGGTTGGTATTGCAAAGCAAAATGATGGTTGGTAATTGTCATTGCCTCAAAATTATGGTCGGCGATTTTCGTAAAGGTCAGTTTGAGGGTGGTTGTTGATTCCATTTCCCAGGTTTGTAGGTAACCAACAAACGTCCCATTTCTTGGACACAATGTGGATAGCGGCTGATTACCTAGTATCCTGGGAAATAGAATTCAAGGACCCCATTTGGATGATGAAACTCCGTAGGTACCACAATGGTTACATTCTGCTCTGTTGCTCCAAGCCGGTGAGCGAAAGGTCTGGTATGGAAACGCCACTTATACTCCCGGCCAGGGCGATTCGGTCACACCAAAGACCAGCCATGACAAATGTATCTGACCCGGACTCTTCAAACAAAAAAACTTTCGGGTAAGAGAGCGATTCTTGGAAAACCACGTAGGCACATACTCACCAAGGTCAGCGAAGTCTGGCAATGGTATACAGCAGGGGTCTTTTTCAGTTGCAAACCCTTCCAATGAAGAGGAGATTCGGGCAAACGCACCTTCCAAGCCCACCTTCCGGCTGCTTTGTGCTTGAGAAGAGTTCCTTCTGTGCGGAAGCTAAACCGTTTGGGGTTGTAAACTCAAATAAGTGGTGCAATTTCCTACGGACTTGCATTGGTTTTCTGGACGTTCACGGAGACCGTACCTGGACTTGAGCCTCAAACACCCTTCACAGAAGGAATCGCCCAATTATTTGGATTGCAATATCCCACTGTGTAGGTCAGCTCGAGGGGCCAGGTAGATTTCTTCCAAGGTTTCCCCCAAAACCCTCCCCGCCCCTGCCGAAACCTCCCCAAACCAACCCCCACACCTCTCGCCTCCTCTACGATCTGGCGCTTCTGGGCCGGGGAGAGGCGGCTGCAGACGCAGCAGCGGGAGAGCATGGCAAGCTCATAGAGCTCAACCGCCAGGCCCTGCTGAAAGATCCTGAGAAAATTCGATTGGAGAATCGGATCCCCCACACCCAATATCCTTAGTTGGGACGTCAACCCTGACTAAAGGAGACGTGAAAAACCGATGGAACACTTGTTTTTGTTACAACAAGGCGGGCTTTTGGAGCAGGGGCCACTGGGGCGCTGGGATCCCCAGATCGAATTCCTGGACTGCCAAATACCCTAGAACACAGGATATTGCCCGAACATGATGAGTGGGGATGCAAGTGGTAAAAGACCTCGGAAATACCACTAGCAGCTTAGCATGACCTTCCCAAAGTCTAAGTCCACAAGGAAAAGCGTGCTTTGGGTTGGTTTTCTTAGAGGGAAAGCCAAGAGAAACAACAGGGTTCACAAAAGAAAGCACCTGATTCAAAAGGAAGAGCTGTGTTTCAACCCAACCTCAGCCTACTGTTTTTGTCTCATCTTCAAGGGGGGTGACCCCTCGATATTTTAGAAGCGACCCTCAAACTACCCTGGAAAAAGGGAATTGCCCCATATGATTGAACACTATCCTATTTTAAAGGGTATTTCCTCAATAATGCGATATTGCCTCAAAATAGGGTGATCTTCCTTTCAGGGTATCAGGGTCCAGGCACACCTATTGTCTCTCCTCGTGGTTTGATCACCTGGTGTGTTAAAAATTCTCAACCAATGGACAAAGGAGGTACGGCACACCTTATTTGACATAGCTTCCCGCTGGCCCCAACCTACTATGCACTACGTCAGCCCAAAACGAGGCACACCAGGACCCCTAGCAAAGGCGGGGACCCTTTTGGAACTGCGACATGAAGCCCGGGTGATTTAAACCCGAACCGAGGCTCAGCTTCAGAGTTTGCCCGTCCAGCACCAAGCCGCTCGGCTTGCCGTTCTCCTTGGCAAAAGCTCAACAGCTGGTTCACCTACTAAACCGCAAATAGGGGGCATGGTGGGGGAACCCTCCGACGAACTGGCATAGAACCCTGATTGGGTTCTGGAAACCACCTTCACTTGAGACGGTGAGTTCCACTATTATTTGCCCAGAGTTGGGTATATCACACCTGGAGCCCCGAAACGCCACGTTTTTGTGGTCAAAAGGCATATATGGCATGTTTTTTACCCGAAAGGTTGTTTTTTTCGGTCATTTGCCAGAGTTGCCCGTATTTGGCCGTATAAAACCCGTATTTTGTCGATAACATATTGAAACAAAAGCGAAGGAAACCGTATTTGGCCGTATGACCACTTTTTTCGGGCAAAGCCTTTTGACAAAAAAAAACCAGTGTTTTGGGGCCCCAGGCAAAGCATGTGTTCAGATTCTGCTGCTTCCCCGAAACATAATATACATTTGGAAGAGACTTCTCTCATTCGCAAAACTCTTATCCAAACTCCCCCCTCCGACTCGCCGGGTTTCCTCCAAATATTGCCAATTTAGAGTCTTTTTGGGGTATGGATATTCTTGCAGAGTGGTCGAACACACGTGTTCCCACAAAGCCGAATCAAAGAAATCAGCCAAGCTAAAAACATATTTTGCAAAAGGCACTACCTGAACCCTCAAAATAGGGTGGATGCCCTAAACATTGCAAGGCCTCCGAACATTGCGCGCGCAAAATCCACCGAACGGAACATGGCAGCCAAGGCACCATGACCTGCTTCGCCTCTTGCAGCTTCATTTGGATATCCTCCAGGGTTGCAAGGGTCTGTTTAAACACAGGTTGAAAGCACAAGTTGTTTCAACAAAACATGTGTTCCAAATTGTTAATTGTTGGCACAAGTGGTTGAAATAATAAGAAGGGGATTTGCTTTAAACAAACCAGTGGTTAAAAGAAGAACTGTTGCAACAACTTCTTCTTTCCAGATTGCTTTAAACGGTTGTGGTTGTTTCAACAACAATTATTGTTGAACGTAAGTGGGTGATCCCGCAAAGGGACATGGCCACATTATGTTGGGTTGCACTAAACCTTTCCTCGGGTAGTTTGAGCGTCCCAGAGCCCCAGGTGGTGGAACCTCCGGTTCAAACAAGCGCCGACTCGCCGGATCTCCTCCCCGGTGCGGCAGTTGCAGACGAAGGCCAGGTCCATGTCCTTGGAGAAGAGGTTGCAGGAGTAGGCGATGTCCTCGGCGAAACGCGTCTCTTTTTTGGCGTGCTTGAGGCAATGTCCACTGTTTCAGGGCAGTTTTCAGGGCGCTTCGCGTTCTTTTTGTTCTTATTTTATCGTGTTTTTTGCTTTTGCTTTATTTTCCCTATTTTTTTGGGCGTGTTGAGGCCATGTTCTTATGTTTTCAGGGCAGTTGGAGCCTCCGACAGCTGCTTTCGAGCCTGGGGCCATGGGTCCTAAGGAGGCGTCTGCTCACTGTGGGTGCGTGCGATTTTGAACATGTGGTACCCCTACTCCAACGACATGGAGAACCCACTGGCCAGTGTTCTGGGCTGTTCTGTGGGGCCCCAAGTGTCGTGGCATGGCTCAACCATGATCAAGCCCCACAGAAATCCGTAAGAGAATTGGCTCGAACATCAACACCCAGAAATTTTGGAGATTGCCTCAACCAAGAGTGCCTCTAGTCTTCCCACAAGCGTTGGCCAAAAACTCCCGTGGCCCCGACCGAAACCACTTCGCCCGAGGCTCCACGGCTGTCTCAGTCTTGTCGCCTGTCAGCACCCAAAGCCTGTTGCAAATTTGCTGACCGAGCGGGGGACTTGGCGCCCGACCTGCCAACTGTTGGCCTTGATATATTTTGGCCATGGAAATGGTAATGGCTTGTTGCGGTATCCCAAGGTTTCAGGAGGGTGGGCCTTGACTGTCGTCAAAACGTGAATCCGTTGCCTTAGCTTCCTGAGACGAATTCCAGTGAGCTTAGGCTTGGGTTGAAGGCCGGCATTTCTCACGATTGGAGCTCCCCTTTGTGGATTTGAGGGAAACCAAAGAAAACCAACCTGATGGGTTGCCAATTTTTGAGACTTGGGAAAACAGCTTGAAAAACCCGACTCCTGAAAAAGGGAAGCCCCCTTTGGGTGCAATCCATTGACACCATCCCCAGGTACGGCGGGTTAAGAAACATCCGTTTCCGAGTTCTTGGACCGAGCCTAAAAATCAACTCGGGAAATCACCAACCATTTTGGGGGGGGACCACAATATCAACCGTTTTGTTTCGCGCAGTTTGTTGTCGTGGTCTCAGCTCTATCATTTTTACTTCAGTGCTCCCTAAAAACAATCCCCCACGAACTTGCGCCAACTTGGACAGCTGTTCAATCAAGTTCCCTTGTTACCATGCAAACTGGTCCATCCCATAGGGAAAGACCCTTTTGGGCCCCAGACAAAGGAGAAGTATACCATGGTTCACAGGAAAAAGCTCAACCCTGTTGGGCCATTTCAGGACATCAGGAGGGGTACTTTGGAGGGATTTTGTGTGTCACCTGGCCATGAGTCCAAACCCGTACCCCCAGTGAACATCCCAATCCCCACTAAAATAGGTTCTAAAATGGGTGGTGAACTCACCTATCCCAAACTGGGATCCCAAAACGGTTTTGACCACCACAGCCATCTTAGTCTTCGGGTGTCCTTCGGAAGGTTGTCCGGTATGGAAACCCTAGAGTTCTCTGGACCCATCTACCAATGGGTGTCACCCACAAAAGTCTTCTCCGAATTCTCGAGTTGCTCCGCCGGATTCTTGAGGCTCTTGAGCCCGTCTTGAACCATGGCCATAAAACAAAAACTCAGTTGCCCAGTTCGGACCCTGAAATACAAGGTGATCACCTTTCGGGGCCATGACTAAAATAATTAGGATCAACATGGGAAAACCAAAAGGTTAAAAGGTCGGCTTTGGGCAACTGAAACAAAGACGAGTTCCCAGCTTGGCTCCACGAGTTGCTTCGCTTCGGATGCCGCGCCGATGCGCTGCCGGCCTGATGCCCGCGGCCTTCAGGGTGGCGATGGCCTCGGGCACCCCGTCCTGGAGCCGGTCCTCCACCGCCGTGAGGCCCGCAAGCTGCAGCTCCTCGAGAGGACCGAACGACCTGGCTCCCGGGGTCGGGGTTTTGGGGCGGGAGGGGGGGGCCAGGGAGTGCCAACTGCTTCTGGAAATGGGAGATGGTCGTTTTTATTTTGTTTGTGGTGATGGTTTTTGTGGTGGGGATGTTGTTTTGGTATGATGTCCGAATGGTTGGGAGATGGTTGTTTGCTTGATGTCCGAACCCCAAATGGAACTGGACAAATGTTGAAGGTCAAAGGATTGAGGCGAGCCGACTCAACCCAGTGATCCACGGTAGAGCAATGATTGGAACTGACTTAAACATATTTAGTGGGGAAGCCACCTGACAAAAGGGATAAGCCATTGATGCCACTGATCGATCCGATGCAGAAAGGTATGGAGAATTGAAACCCAAGGGCCCCGAAGCAAGAAACGGTGCAGAATCCAACCGACAGTGCCCAGTGAGTCCGCCCAGAAAAAAAGCGGACAAATGCTGGTTACTAAAAAATCAGTGGAAAATCGGATAAGGTCAGATCCAGTCAATCTGCTTGAGGCGGTTTAAGATTTGGCTTGACAAAAAAGCAACAAAACAAACTAATACACCAAACAACTCAAACTAAAAAGAAACAAACAATTTCTAAACAACTAAACACAATAAAAAACAACGCACCTCAAAAACAACCTGCAGTTGGGTGCCGCACATCCATTCCCCTCCGCTCCCACCCCCCAACGGCGAACTCCTTCTCCATGTCAGCGCCCACCTGCGCCACACGCTCCTTGTGGTTCTGCATGGAGTTCTGCGCTTCCGACCATGCGGCCTGCGACGTTGGACCGGCCCCCGAAGCCCCACTGTCGAATCTGCCCGTTTGGGTGGGGACCCCCCAAAATGGTGATGTGCCTCTTGGTTTGCCTTGGAAACCATCAGAAAAGGTACCAAAAACAAAACATTTCAAGGAATAAGCCGGACCCTAGGGAGGGTCCGACCTCCAGGGACGCCAACAAGGAATTGCCCTCAAAAAAAGGACACATGAGTCCCAGTCAGTGGTCACGAGCCTTAGTATTCGAGATGGAATTTCAGAGGCGCTTGACTTTACGGAGTGGGGATTCGACGGAAAGTGGGCGTTGCGGAGGTCTAACCAGACTGCCCTGCAAAAAGTGACAGGGCTTTGCAGATCATGTAAAATTACAGAAAAACAAAAAGGCTTTCAAGGATGAAAAGGCAAGTCTTCCGTCTGGTAATGCTAAATGGATCCAGAAACCCGCTTTCTTGGGGAGCCTCACCCGTTTCGGGTGATCTTCATGCCTCAACAAGCATCCTGAGGAGCCTGTCTTGGGGGCGTACGAGCGCTGGGGCTTGGGCTTTCCGGAGGTGACCGTGACCCCCTCTACAAGTTCTGAAAAACTTAGCCTCTATGATTTTTATTCTTTGAACAGAAGCCCATGACAAACAGAACTCCTTATTGTTTTTGTTTTTGTTTTTTTAGCTGAAATCAATATGTAAATGTCATGGTGGGTACCGGGGGGGGGGGGGGGAGGGCTTGACAAAGCTGACAGGGTCCAGCACACGTCGTTGTCAATTGCATCATCCCATCCACAGGAACTTCAAACGTCCAGAAGGTGACGTGAACAATCACAAGGGGAAGCAGACTAGATATTTGCCTTCATGTTAAGGTGCGCCTCCTTTTTCCGAGTACTTCCGTTTTGGTTGGTGACCCTTCATTTCTTTCACCCTCAGATTCAACCCTAGGGACATGAAAATCCATGGGCTTAGCCCAGGGCTTCTCCGCCAACCTGAAAACCCCTGCCTCCCAGCGGGCGAAGTCTGCGGGGGCCACTTTCTTTGAAGCCACCACCAAAGTCCGCAGGCCCAGCTGCGAGAAGCTCCGCAGCTGGTCCTGACCGATGCGGGAAGAACACAGGTCTCACTTCCCGGGTGGTTGCAAAAGAAGTCGAGACTTTTGGACCACATAGCTAAAATTCGCTAACAAAAACACGTGGGTATGGGTCGAAATTAAACCAGGAATCGGACCGCAGGTTTTAGTCCATGTTTCCATTTACCAGGGCAAGCCATTTTGGGTACCTATTCTTGACCCACTGCCACGTGTCTCACTTCCCGATGCAGAAGAAGTCTAGACTTTTTGACCACTAAAATGGTGCAAAGCCCAACAAGTGAGAGACAAATATGTCCGGCTTCTGTTTCGTGCTTCTACCTCTTCACTCATTTTCTAGTTTCGGCGGAGCCAAGTGCTCGAACTGTGAAATCGGAAGCCCCACAGGCCCCACAGACCACAAAGTGATGCCGTCGCTTCAGATATGGTCCATTCCCCTGAGTGGATTTCTATATTGAAAAGAGCACACCATTCAGGTGGCTTCGAACTCTGAAGGAACACCCCAAGCTCAAAAGGAGTTCCATCCGCTGATTGAAAAGAAAGCCATCTGAAGGTCTGGGAAGCTCTCCGAAACAAAACACAGTCGCCTGAAAGTCCAGCATTTGGACTCAAAGTCGAGGTTGAACTCAAATTCAACAAACACATGTTGGACTCAAGGTTGACATCAGTCTGTCTTCCAGCCCAACCAATCAAAATGGGGTTTTACCTCTGGATCTGTGGGGAAACCATGAGGACATATTTTTGCGACCCGTTTTTCAGGGCGCGTCTTAACGGTCCCTTTCCCACGGGGGAAGGTAAACCCTGACTTCTGCGATCCATGACACCCAAACCTCAAAAACCAGCGGCTCCAGCCGCGGAAAAATCTCGCTCCGCATCTCCTCCTCCCAGGCCCCCAGAGGAGTGGTCAGCAAGGGGCTCATGATGCTATCGGCGCCCTTGGTCAGACAGTACCTCAGATTTCGAAGCCTAAACTCTAGGAGCTCGAGCCACCAGGGCTTGGCAAGGAGCATGGAATCTGCCCTTATGGCTGGATGGAGAAAAAAACCAGCCAAACGATGGGAACCCGTACTGTTTCCCCAGTAGGATTGCAATTTGTTCTTGGTTCATCATTTGAGTTAAGGGCAAAGATGTGAGATGGTCCCAAGAGGTGACCTTTGGCCCATCACCAAAATCCAAAACAAGCGACCCCGTTCAGTGTTGCTCCAGACCCCCTTTGAGCATTCAGTGTAGCAAGAAACTAACCTGCTTCATTGGCATCAAAATAATTATTATTCAAATATGATGTATTCCTCAGCCTCAAACCTGGGGCTCTCGGGTACCACCTGTTCCTGGCTTTCGCCTCACCTTTGAGTGCATTCCAGACTTCAAGGTCTTTCCGTGACATCTTGGCGGTGAACAGGAACAAAGGAATGAACGATGAAAGTGAGGCATAGTGAGGAACAAAAAGGGATAACGTGTTTGTTGATTTGCTTCTTCACCATCATTTTCGCGTTACCCATCTATCCGCTCCGCTCCACATTGTGGCTGAGATTCAATATAATAACAGATGGGAGAGAGAGAGAGAGAGAGAGAAGAGGTACGAGTAGGTGTGAACGCGTGAGGGATGAGTGACCGTCTCTTAGCGGATAAAACCAAGGAACAAGCCATGGATTCCAGATGGATTTCCTTGGCACCTGCGCACGCTGTGTATAAGGGAAGAAGACATCTGACCTTAATCCGATTTGTTTAAATAATTTGTTTGTCGAGGACTTTATCGAGCCTTCAGAAGAAGGAGCCACACATGTGATCAAGTCTGGTTTTTGCTCAGGATTGTTCTCATTCGATCAAAGCTGAGGGAGAAAACTAAAACGCCACAAAAGTCACCCCTGTGGATCTCAGGCAATCCAAAATTGGGGTGTCCTTTTCTAGGGGACCCCCCAACATGGTAGTTGTCCTTCTGGTTTGCCTTTAAAATACACGCAAAAGGGAGTGCCATCAAACAAAACACGCCCACTTTGTTTGAAAGGGTGGTTCCGTTGGTTACCTACTGAAAACACGGGAAATGGAATCATCCAGGATAAGGCTCTTGAGGGAGCTTAGGCGTTCGGATGGAACCATGCTGGTGAGGGCGCCCCAATCTAAGTGATTCCATTTACCCATATAGTAGCCAAGGGCACTTCTTCAAACAAACGCAAAGAACATGGTGGGTTAGCTCTAAACTGGCCAAGCGCCTGGGATCCCCTGGGAATGATTGGGCCTCCAAAAGTCGTTCGCCAAGTTTCTACCCGGGCATCTTGTCGCGAACCCCTTCAAGGGGACCAAAAGGGCATTCAAACTGGAGAGGGTCTGGTTACTATGCACCAACCCCTTCTCGGGGGTCGGTCCAATTTTCTTAAGCGAAATTCGGAAACCCAGGGGAAACCCACCATTTTGGGAAGCCAATTCCTAATTAAAGACAGACCTTGCGTAAAATATCATACTTCAAACTGAAATAAGAACGGACCTCCCAGCAAAGAAGGCTCATCAAGGACGCATCCCTCCCCCCGATTGGTCCACAAACATTCGTACCCATGCTTCAGTCAAGCCACACCGCGCCATTGTGCTCACAGAGGACAGACATCCGCTTTCTCTCCGCATTGAACTCAATGACGTGGCGCAGCACAAAGACGCGGTCGCCGTCAGGACCCGACAGCACGATCTCCTCAAACGGACACCTCCCGATGAAAAAGGGAATGTTGAATGGAGGAGTCCAATCTTCTTCAGACCCCAGGAGACAAACCAACATTGCAAAACCTTGAGCCAACGGACGCCCGGGAAGGTTAACCTCCAGGTCCGTACTAGAACCCGCATTGGTGAACCCACGAGTGATTCATGGGGGTGTCGCATTTTGGAAAGAATAACCCCACAGCCAGGCGCTTGGTGGCGCAAAATTGCAAAACCCTGGCTTCGAAATTTTGATGTGGTAGCAAAACAAATCGCTTGGCAGCCCCCTACTAACTAAAAAAAACACTAACAACTAAAACTACAGGTACAACCAACAACTACACAACTCGCTTCGGGGTGAGACCCAGAATGGCTGGCTTCCTCTGGGTGGTCCTTCCAATTCATTGGTGGTTTAGAGGTTAGGTGTTGGGAACCCCCAGTGCCCTCAAGAAGCGCCAACCAGGGGGTCAACCCCTAGATCCCAACCACCCCTTTAGGGGCAACCTGACAGGCGGCAACCCCCCTTTGGCGTGGACCGAAATTTGGTGAGTCCATGTTCCGCCAATATGGATCAGAAAGCAGCTTCTCACGGACCCTCCACGTCCGCGTCCGCCCTAAGCTCCTCCTGGCCGTCCGCGCCCGTGCGGCGCTTCGAGAAGGTCACGCCCACTGAGCGCGCGCCCTCGACCAGCGCCACCTCATCCGGGCTCGGCCCAGAGAACTGCATGTCCTCAAGGAGATGATTCCAAGAAACATGCAACGCAGTCAGGGAATCTGCGATTTTTTAAGGAGACTTGGGAAACAGTGGCAAGGAATGCCTGTTGATAGAGAAGGGGTTTCTACAACGCCGGATAAGAAGAATTTGCAGAACCAACGATGCTCCCAAGACCGGATTGGCACTGGAGGGACACGATTGGGTCCCTTCAACAAGTCCAGCCGCTCCCATGTTCAGGGATCCTGGGCAGAAGCTCGGGAGAGCACGATGGGAGAATCTGGAATCAACCCATAGAAAAATGTTCGACCCGGACTGTGGTTTGGTCATCCTGGAAGGCAACATGTCACCATCGCCCTTGTCCGACTCATTTCATGCCTACGTTTTGCGTGGATTTCGACCTCTCATGTTCAATGGGAAACATGGTGAAAAATGGACATGTTATAGTGGTGTTTCCCACCTTGTTGCCACAAAGCCAACCGTAGATCAACTTCTGAAATATGGAAGGAACGGTTCAAACATAGAGCAACGCATTTCTTCAGGCAGCTGACGGGCACAAAGGTATTAAACGGTCCATGTTTCGAGGAGCCTCCAGAAACCTCGCTTTTGGCTCATCGAAATTGATCAAACCATCTGCCCAGGAACTCGGAGGTGGGCATCAGACCCCAGGTCCCAAGCTTGCCGATTCATGTGGATATCACTTAGATCGGAGCTCACCGTCTTTTCGCCGTTCTCATCTTAGCCTTTTTTTGGAAGGGTGCACATTGCTGCGGGCAAATGAAACTGCACCCAGCGATTCCAGCTACTTGCCTCCCATTAAGTTGCACGGTGGCTTCCTCTGGTCGCCTGGACTCCCGTCACGCCCGTCCTCGCTGACTTGCACTGTGTGACATACCGCCAGGCAGGTGAAGAACCAGAGCACCTCTCATTGAACATTGGCGCGGTAGGTCTGGCTGGCGCCATGGGCAGGGAATGAGGGAATGAACCTGGGGGCCTGGGGGTCTCTTTAAAGGAAACAACAAGGGATGGCTTATAGGGGTCATTCCCTCATTCCCTGCTCAGCACCAGCAAGAAGCTTCTGAGATTCACAAGGTCTGTTGCAGTCACCTTGGCTTGCTGTTGTAGTCGCTTTGGCTTCTTGATCGAACCAGCCATACTAAGATGCGATTCAAAGAAGTTGTTTTGTGTTTGAATCTGTACTTAGCGTGCTACAGTTGTTTTACCGGACACTAGACTAGAGGGTGCGGTTGGGGGAGGGGGTCAACAAATTAAGGATGATACGTACTTTTTCTCAACGAAACAGGACCAGAACAAATGCTGTTGTCTGGGAAAAAACACAAAAAACATATGAATGTCACAAGTTTGGGGTGGCCAGGCAGCCAATGGAGATGACCTATCTAAGCAGCCATACTTCACCTTAGGGTGAAACCCCCAATCCGGAGTGAGTTTTTGGCTTCCTCGAATTTACCCTTGTTTCCATAAGTTCCACTTCTGGCTTCTTTGCTCATCTCCCTAGGATGCCTCTGGTTCCGCATACTTTCATTCACAGAAGCTGCCCCCCCTTCAAAAAACAAAACAAAAACATGCCGACATGACCATACCCGCCGAACAACAGGTAAACACACACACCCACATATTTTGACCTTTTGGGTGGGAATATACAGCTTGCGCGGCGTTAACTAGAGGTTGACATGCCAGAAGAGCACCTTGCCCTAGGGGCCCAAGACATGATTCTATCATCTTCCTTCCGAGTAATTGGTGGTTTGGATTCGTGCTTTGGAGGTACAAAAGCGGTGATTTCCGATTTACCATCTACAAGAACCAGGGGTTCCAATCTCCAAACCACCAGTTCAAGCCACCAATTAAGGGTTTCCTGATTCTATAATATATTGGGGCTGGGCTCCTGGGGTTCAACATGAAACGCACCCATTGCCATTGTGTTACGCATCGGCCACCGATCAGGTGCATTATGTGCCTCCCTGGAACATCACCCGGCCAAAGAAAAATAAACAAAAATCTGAAAAGGGCTTTTACATCACCCGGATCCCCGGCAGGCTGTCAGTTTCCTAGGGTGGGAAACCCCGAAAGGCTTGAAAGGAGGTCTTCTAACCTCAGGATTGGCATTTGCGGGGCATTTTTTGTCCTTGGCTGTCTGTTCTCGGTCACCCCCAAAAAAGGATCCCCTTTGTCAGCGGGCGCTTCTTTTCCGTCAAACCATTGTTTGAATGGTGAGGGAACTCCAGAGTCAGACCAACATGTGTGTCCAATACTCAACCAGACCCCGACAGGTGGATGAACCGCAGACCTGTTGTGTCAATGGTACGGTATAAGTTCGCTGAAGATCCGAGTTCTTTGTACCCTCCGGTCCACTGAAACGAAAACCACCAGATCGGTTGGCCATTTTTTTGAAGGAAACCTCCGTCGTCCAGGAGCCCTCCGTCAGGTTCCCTGGACAGGAGGGGCAGCAGGGCAAGCCTCAGTCCCAGTAGTAGTTGTGCGACCTCATGCAACGACTTGGAAGCACCCAAACCTTCTGAAACACTCCCCCCAAAACAAGAAGAAGCTGGCGATTTACCCAGATATCTCTGGAGCAGCTTTCAGAAAACCTCAAGCTTCTTTAAGGAACGCCAAAGAAAGAGAAACCAAGAAGGACACACGTGGCTCGAGAACATCCTCTGCGCGTCGGCACCTCCTCCCGGCGCTCGGAAGCGTCGCTTTTGAGGGCCTCCTTCGCCGCCAGCAACCCTGGCACCGGGCCCCCCGCCGGATCCTGGCGCTTTCGGTGAGGCTTTCTCAGGACCACTAAGGTTAGGGAACAGTCCTAATAAAATGCTTGACATGGTTTTGGTAGACCATTGGAATACTAGGTTTGAGGTAGGCCAGTATAGTAGGTAATTGGACATGCTCCACATGAAGTGGTTCTATTGGTGCTTCAAAAAATGTTGCTGTTTGAGGGCAAATCCTTGATGCCCCGTGCAGAGGGGGCACATGCTGCAGAAGAAAGATGAGGATTCCTTGTGAAATGCAGGGAGTGGAACCCTGACATTCACACGGCCTTTAGGGCAAACACACGATTTGACCGTGTGACATTGTTTCTAAAACCTTGCAATGGTGGTCAAAACCAAACAATAAACAAAAAACAACACGTTGTTGTCTTTAACCCCCCACTAACACTGAGCAGAACTAACGAACCAAAAGACTAAAAAAGCACAAACCTGGATCCTCAGAACACCCTTGAAAATAGGATATTGCCAAATTCAGGGGGCGAATTCCCAGTTTGAGCGTGCAGAAAGACGCAAAAAAACTGCGAAGACATGGGTGTGCCATTTGTTGAGGGCACCCTGTGTTGGGGTGGTTTTGAAGGGAAACCAAAGGAACACCCACCTATGGGTTGGAATGGACTCGCTCAAGCTGTCACCACTCACTCAAGCTGTCGACAGTCCTGGATGAAGGAGCCGAAGCTTTGTCGGCCCAGGGCGCATCTGGCGAAGCGCATCTCGTTGGCTGTCAAGGTGCCCGTCTTGTCCGAGAAGACAAAGTCTATTTGGCCCATCTCCTGGTCTGGGGGGTAAACCGACATGAAACATGGATTTGCAGACTCTGTATCAGGCTACTCCTAAATGGAAATCACTGCACAATTGTGGGCCATTCATAGTAAACCTTCAAATTTCGAACCAAAGTACTTTCTGAGGAGACCCCATCTCGTGGGAACTGCGTTTTAAGGAAACCTTTGGATTAAAATGCGCAAGGCAGGCCGGGTATTCCTTGGAAAGCCGACACAAGCGGAAGCCAACCTGGGTTTTCCAAGTTGGGACACCCAGACCCAACCCAAAGAACTTTCCTCCGAGACGTCTGGCGAAGCCCTGGAGGCTAGGGGGAAAAAACCGATTCAGGGTCGACGTGTACATCAGCCCAAAGGACCTCTTTTGGGGCCATGACTATGGACCAAAAGGGGAAAACCAAAAGTCAAAAGGTCGATTCGCTTTGAACAACTGAGTTACACCTGCTGGGTGTCTCCTGGTTGAAAGCCGTGGGGGGTCTAAGGCAATCCCTGAGAACGTGTCGAAGACCGTTGCATTTTCAGGACCAACGCCCTGAACAAATCCAAATCTCCGTGCAGGGCTTCCTTCACTCGACGTGGCCCAAGGCTTGCCTTCTTGGAACGACATCTCGTGCCTGCGCTGGAAAGCCCCGGCCTCTCAATGGGCCAGGCTTAGCGCCCCAAAAAGACGTGGGTTTCCTTCACTCCAGTGACTCCCGGTAGGTGTCAAAGCACTCATGCTGCACCACCTTGGCCATAGTTCTCTCAGGAATCTTTACCTTGGTGACAAAACCCTAAACCCCAAGTCCCATGAAACTAATTGGAACCAAACAAGGGAAATTGAAGCCATATTCTTAAGTAAGCGGAAGTTCACCATCCCTACAAGGTCAGAAATCCGCTGACCGCGGAACCCAACCCCTCCCCCGTTCCTCCACGAGGTCTGCGGTGCGCGTAGTGGCACCCTGGCCGGAAATCGGGTCCACCATCTGGGCGTCCATGTCGATGAAGCGGCCAAGAACCAGCTTCAACCTAGCGGGGTCGCCCGCGTGGGCGGGAGAAAGGCGTGAGTCGCGGGCTCGCAGCTCTTTGTGTTCTACCTTCTTGGTGAACACGAGGTTTCTGGTGTTGATTCGTTGACCTAGGTCTAGCCAGAGAAATACAGTCGTTCGCTTGATGTTCTGCCGTGTTGCTGTCTTTGTGTTGCTTGTGTGCCAGGTTGCTAGTTGGCTTGTCAAACCGTCTCTTTTCTTGTGCAGCTTGCTGCTTGGACAAATGTCAGTTGGTTGGTACGTCAGCGAGCAGTTTGCTAGCCTGCCACACGCCAGCTTCCGCCTGGCGGTTTCCGCGGGCCTGAAAGTGAATCTTGAGGGCTAAAGATTGCCAAAAACTGTAGGGGTTGACCATGGAACGAACCAAATCTAGGATTCAATACTCTATTCTACCATAATCATGATAGAAGAGGGCAACAATATGGCTGTGCTTCAAAACCAATGCTACCATTTTGGGGGTTTTCGGTGCACCACCCATTTTAGATCCTATTTTAGTGGGGATTGAATCGGATGTTCACTGGGGGTACGATTCGGATTTTGACCCATGGCCATTTTGAGCCAGATCTACAGCCGCCCACTGACACAGAGAGCCTGGAGGATACCTGGAAGCTGCATTTCGTCTTGGAGAGACCGCCTGTTTGGTAGGAGGGGTGCCCCCTCCATGGCCATATAAAGCCATATAAATGGCAGCAACCGCTCTCCCAGTTGTGTTGCCTCTTTGCTGGCGCCGTTGGATTCCAGCCTCCTGGCGGAGGACCCCAGGTGTATAATTTTATTCAAAAAGGGGAACCACGGAAGAGCACCGTGTGGCAGTCACACGTTGTAGGTGTGCTGTAATGTGTTTGCTTGTTTGTTTGCTGGTTTGAGTGGTTGCTTGCCTGTTTCTGTCTGTCTGTCTATCTGTGTGTCTGTCTGTCTGTGTGTGTGTGTCTGTCTGTCTGTCTGTCTGTCTGTCTGCCTGCCTGCCTGCCTGCCTGCCTGCCTGTCTGTCTGTCTGTCTGTTTGTCTGTATTGCTCGCTTGTTCGCTCGCTGGCTCGCTCGCTAGCTTTTCTTGCTTTGAGGGATGGACTCTGGGTGCAACTGGGAGGCAGCTCGAAGGACACGTAGAGAGAGATGGGCACCACGTGGTACCTCAGATCAGGCAGCTAGGAACAAAGAAAGCTTTTGTGTGCTCTCCCCCTGAGTCAAGAGGTCATTTGATCTTTTCTCACTTCCCGAGTGGATGGGCCCAAAACACGGCAAACTGTTCATTTACCGCTAAAGTGGTCTTCCACTTAATTTAAAGTCCAGGACCTCAGGAGGAGAGTTGTGTAGGCGTAATGGACAAATACCAAAATGTTTCCAGAAGGTCTGAGGGGCGATTCGTTCACACCAAAGCCCAGCCACCAGGTGACCTACCAAACACGGGCAAAGAAGTTGTGGATTTATTTCAGAGGTAAAAACGCCTTGCAGGTGAGTCTGGGCGACTTATGGAATGAATCAGATGGCACGTGGACCCCCGTTGCATTCTTATAATCACAATATGGAAACGCCACTACACAAAGGTCTGGACTCATATTTTCTCTTTTGGCTCCCGGATTTCAGCGTCTTGCGCGGGTTTACCACATTCTGGGCCGATGATTTGTTCGTCGCAAGCCAAATCTACGACCGAATTGTCATTTGCTTCACATGGGTGTGTCCAAACATTGCGGACCCCCAATGTTGGCCTTTTGAGGGCAAACAAAAAGGAAGTTGCCTTTCTGGGGTGCCAAATCGTTTTTTTGGCCAAACTGAGCTGACCGGGCCGCAAACAGCGACAACTCGCCGCTGGTCGCCGGTGAGTGAAGGGGGGGGGGTTCTAAATTGGGGTACTGGGTAATGGCCGGGACCGAGACCTCAAATAAGGTCGGTGTCCTTTCCATCAAAACAAAACACCCCAAAACGGGATTCCCGGGGCCGCAAAAAAACACCTCCACACATCCCGCCATTTGTTAAAATCAGGGACCCTTCTGGGTGCTTCGTTTCCCTTTGGTTCCCCTTCAAAAAATCCCAAAAGGCTCTCCCAATTTCGAGACAAACCATGCGAATTCTGCTTCTTCCTTTTGTTCACTTTAACACCAACCTAAAAGGGTACCCAGCCTCAAACAAACACACACCCAAACAAGCAATTCGCCAAGTAAGGTCTGAAATGTCCAAGGTTCATGATTAGGTCTTGGTTTCTGGGAACTTCTGCTGAGCAGCACGGTGATGGTGTAGGTGAGAAAGCGCACCAGCCAGTCCGTGCCTGGGTCCACCACTTTGGCCGCTGTGGCCATGTAGCAGCACGCCAGGAACAAAGCCGTCAGAAGGCCATAGACGCATTGGTTCAGAGCCTGGGATGCGCGGGGGGGTGACTTTTTGTGAGGCGAAGGGGAATCCCGTTTTGGGGGGTAGGGAAACCAATCGAAACATCCCACTTGTTTTATGTTGTTTTTCTGTTTGTTCTGCGGGGGACGGGTAACCATATGGCTGTGGTTCAAAAAAGTGGTACCCATTGTGTGGCCCCTTTGATGGAAACAAAGACCAGAACCTGTGTAACCCCAGCTCTTTAACTTGGAGCCACACCCATATGGTAAAAGCCTATTCTACCGGGTCATCCCGCACTCTTCCCCCATTCTTCACCATTGTTGATGCGATTCACCCAGCTTAGGTCAAATTCCTTGGCACCGTTGTGACCAACCCGACTTCTCAACTAAGAAGCAAAACAAACCAGGGCCAAAACAACAAGAACAAACACAACGCAAACAGGCTTCCCAATATTTCCCCGCTGTTAACATCACCCCCACTAGAAGGAAATTGGCCCCTAATGTCCCTAAGATGTCCCCCCCCCAAAAAAAAAAAAACAAGAAAAGAAGAAACAACAAAGGGACCCCTAAGAAGTGCAAGGCGAGTCTCCCTCTGCATGAGGGACACCTTCCCCTTGGCCTGTGCCGAGTTGAGACACGCCTTGGTGTCTCTGCCCGCGTACGCCACCAACGACAGCATCCATGGGGTGTTGCGCAACACGCAGCCGCCTGGGCGAGCGTTCGACCCTTCGTTTGGGAGGGTCGAAGCGACCCCTCTGAAGGAAGGAGACTCAACAAAAGGGCCGTCAAAAAGCTCTGCGTAAGACCCAGGCTGTAGTCGTGAAACATAGAAAAACTATGGGTGTGGTTCCGAGCTGTTGTGAGGCGAAGAATACTCGTTTCTTCACATTTTGGGAGTCCCCCTATTTCAAGACACACCTAGGCACAACAACAGAACGAGAACCTCAGAACGGGTGGGTGACTAACAGCACCCATTCAAGTCAGGAGGTCTTTGATCAGATCTCACTTGGATTGTCAAAATTCGGCCCCCCCAAAGGGCAGCCCTCGAGAAAAATAAAACACAAAAAACAAAACCCAAAAGGAATTGACCCCCCGCAACTGTTCGCTTGGGTTTTGTCAGGTCGGGTGAGGCGAAAGTGCATTTGTGGTGCCTAATAAATTGCCAGGACCTGAAGTCTTGCAGGTATGTGTCGTAGAACCGGGGAGCCTACAAATCAGAAGTGTTTTTTCCAGTCAGTCTTTGCAACGTAGCCGACACCGGACCGCACCCGGGCCGCACATCGAACATCGGCCGATCCGAGACACGGGGCGCGAAGTTGTCGCAGGAGGCGGCGCAAGCCGCGGATCCGCCATCCAAGGTGATGGATGCGTGCATGTCTGAGAGGTCCGCGCTTGGCACCGCCAAACCTGGTAGGATCCAACGCCCTGGTCGGTTTTTGGGGGTTCAGGGCAAGATCCTGCGCCAAGACATCCTTCAAAATCATCCCAAAGGAGACTCACGTTTTTTAAATGGACAGCAATAGATATGAACATGGAAACCTCCGGTTCTGCAGGATCCGTGCATGGGAGGGTTCTCCTTTACACCCTGCTCCAACCACCCCCGCTTGTTTTTCCGCGGTAGAATCAATGAAAAGACTGGCCTTTCCAAGGTAAATACCTCCATTCTCAGCCAAGAGTCGGGGGCATCAGGAGTCGGGGAAGCCTTTTTGGCTTTGAAAGGGATGCCACGGGGAGTATCAGAACATCCCCCATTTTCTAGGGGCTGCCATATGAGTGAAAATTACTTGTCTTCCCCCAAAAGGACTCGGGAATGCTGTGAGCCCCCCGGTTTCTGTGGGAAATTGACATAATTCTTCAACCTTAAAAAAGGCCACAACAACAGCGTGTCTTGCAGCCCACTAACAATGAATAGAACCATCAAACTGCAACACTGAACACCTGCTGTTCGAACAGCGAAGCCGAGTAGACCCCTGCAAACTAACCCCCCCCCCCCCTCACCAGCACTGGACAAAACCAATCAACCAAACAAGAAAAAACAAACACGCCAAGGACAGCAAAGTTCACATTGAGTCAACCAACCAACATCCCAGCTTCGTCCCCTCGCGCCGAGGCGCGCAGCTCCAGCTGTCGTCGGCACAGCTCCGCCACCGCCTCCGCGCACTCCGGCGGAGGCACCTCGCAGCGCCCGGTGCTGAGGCTGCGGAAGGAGCTGAACCTGGGGAAGCGGAACTTTGGAGTCTCCATGAGCCTTGAAAAATGGCGTCATGGCCCAAAAATAAAAGGTCATGACCCCTTTTTTGTAGTCATGGAGACTCCAGGTTGGTGCGGAACTGCCAGGCATGTCAGGAGTTTCCATTTCTCTTTTTGGAAGCTCACTGGGAAAAGGGAGAAGGGACTCCATCTCAGCGGTGTCTTCCATTCCTCTCGGAACCTCCAAGGGATAGCCACTAGGTCCTCCAGTAGAGAGGCTAGAATAAGGCGACCAACACATGTAAGGAATTAAGAATGCGGATATCCGCAGCTATTTATGGCAAGGGGATTGTCCCTTACCAACCTTCATCTCCCCGGGTTTTGAGCACGTGGCTCACATGGTTTCAAAATAACCCCATGGTATCCCCAACCGCCGGAACCAAGTCCGGAACCCCAGGCCAAATCAACTCCGAATTTCTGAGCCGGTCCGTGCCGAGACCCCAAAGCTTCTTGTTGGGGAACATAGGAGGAAACAACGCCGGCACCAATCTCTCCACCCACGCGGCCGACGCCACCGGCCATCCGCCCGGCCCCAAAACCAAATCCGCCAGGAAACGTCTTGGGCGCAGTCCTCAACTTCAAGTTCGTCTCTCCATCCTGGCCATGGGAAACATACCGGGCAGGGTGGAACTTGGGGGGTTCTTTAGGGGGGTGGTTGGTTTGAGTTTCCCCGGAAGAAGGAGAGCCGCTGGTTGTGGGAAGCGACTGAATGGAACTAGCCGTGTTCCGAAATATTAACATAAAGGTCAATGGAATTTGTCAGAAGCAAACATGTTAAACGGTTGAAAGGTGATAGTCAGCTTCCCAGAAGTGAGACCTAATTCGTGAGCTGTAAGGGTGGAAACAAGGGCTTTGAAAGAGTAACAGCAAGGATTGTGTTTCTTTTGGGGGGAAACAAGAATTTGGAGGGTGGAAACAGACCAGCTTGGACACCTCAGCCAACTGGAACAACTGGACACCGCCATCTTAAAAATAAAAATCACTGATCCCGTCATGGTCCTACATCGCCTGCTAATTCGTCACGTGTCTGGATGCCTTTCGGCTACAATGCCCCCCCCCCCGTTGGGTCAAAGCTACTTTCTGTTTGGACGATTAGTGAGTCCCCCGGTTCTTGTTGAAAACTGGAGCTCAACCCCTTCTTGTCCCGAAGCCCATATGGACCGTAGAATCCGGAAAGTATAGAGGCTTCCCAAATAGAGGTCCACTAAAATCAGTGTGTTTCCTTTAACGTCCCTTAGCCACCAGCCACAAAGAGCGTTTACACCATTTTGCAAAACTCCTAATATGAATAAGTATATGCGACCCCGAACAAAAAGCAACCCCAAATGAATACCCTCGAACAAAGATACACCCACACATCCTGTTCCAATCTTTGGCATGTGAGCAAACTGCTGTGTTTTGCAGCCCACCAAGAATAAACGGAGCCAAACTAAACAGCATTGGGGAAAAACTGCAAAAGTATGAACACAGATATGCATCCTTGTGAAAACCAAACCCGGTAACGACCAATACTCAGATGCCCAGTGGCCATGGCAAAAAATGGCATCCTTTTTTGGTTGACTTTAAAGGGACACCCTTCCCAAGAAAAAGGAAACAAGGAAGCAACCCACTGGGCAACTGGGAATAAAAACGGGATGTTACACATACTAAAAAGTCCTTATTGTAAACCAGGTATGAGGACCAAACCCGAAAATGACCAAAATAAAAGCAACATGTTGGCCGCTGAAGAATGGCACCGCCAAGCGTCCAGGTTCACCGTGGAGATAAAGGCCCCCTGGCCGCCCTCAGCACAGAGCAGCAGCAGATCTGCAGGGAAGGGCTCATCGCACAAGGTGCAAACCTCGGCGCGAAGAGGGCCGCATTGAACTCATTTTTGGAGGCAACGGGTACCCTTTTCTTCCATTTGGTTAAGACCCCCGTGTAAAAAATCAAATATTTCCAGTAAATAGTGATAAATTCCTTTTGAAACCGACAAGGGAAATAACAAAATATTCTGCAGCAAATGGAAGTAAGCGGCGCGAAAAGGGCCCCATTGACTATGGGGGTCTTAAGGGAGGGGGGTGTAAGGGGAGCGGGTAGTTGGAAACCCCCACTTACCCCCCCCTCTTACATCCCCCCCTTAAGAAAGTCATAAATCGAACATTTTTGGAGGCAGCGGGTACCCTTTTTGGGGCTGGTTTGAAGGGAACCCAAAAGGAAAACCGCCATTCTGAGGGTATCCCTATCTAGGCACATGCTCATCTCTAAATGGGTATTTAACAAATGGAGGGCGGGTTCCCTTTGATTTTTGACCGCATGAACCAAACCCAAAACGGGTTCCCTCAAAATGGACCCACCTAAGGTACCCTTCGATGCTGATCCATTTTCAAGGTCACAAAAAGCGCACAATTTCAATCTACTTTGAAATCAATCGCCGATGCCGAAGAGAAAAAAAAGCAATTCATGACCTGGAGGATTGGCATGGATCGATAAAACCCTGATAGGGGTGGGGTGCCCTGTCTCTCATGGCAAACCGGGTGTATGTTGCCACCCAAAGCGGTCAACCCTTGGGTGGCCGGATATTTCGTGAAGGAGCCGGTGTTTTTGTTTGGGTATCTAGGCATTTTTTGAGGTCGCATAGGAAACTCAAAGGAGGCCAAAATTCAATTTTTGGGCCACTACGTTGGTGGTGAAATCACCCTAAAGAGGCAGCCACCCAAGCTGCTGGGTACCTGGGTGTTAAAGCTAGGGGGCTTCGGGATATCGACGGCATTGAAGGTACCAAATCTTAAATGGTCCATGTCAACATCTCAACAACTATCCAAGGGTAGTTGGACCCGGGGTTGGTGTTCGAAAATAGGGGACCCAGGTAAATGGATAAGCAAACCACGACGTCCTTGGCCCAGTATCGGGCAAGCCACAAAGTTTTGGGATTTGGGGCATCTTTTTGTTGTTTGTACCTGGATCCTCGCACTACCCATCATGGGAATCACCCCAGGATCTTGGGTTGCAATATCACATTGTGGGCCTTGGGGAAACTAGTTCTTTCGGGTCCAGGTACATACCATATTAGGCTTTCTCTAAATTAGGGCTCCCTTCAATGGCTTTCATGGTGGTTCCCTCATCACTTTCGGACAAAACAAAAAGACAAGGAGAAGAACAAACGCAAACAAAGCACCCTCAAGAAAGACACACCTACATGGCTAAGACATACCTTCTCTAGAGGGGGAAAAAGGAAACCAACTTTTTGGAGGGGTCCCCTATTTGGGTCCCCTTTTTTCAGAAACACCGATCAATTTGCCTTTAACAACGCAAAAACAAAGGTGCCCTCAGAAAGACACTTCCATATTAGGGTTTCTCTAAATTAGAGATCCCTTCTGGTATGGTTTAAGGGGGAGCCACAAAGAAAACTTCAACCTCCTGAAGCCCCCGAGTTTGCGAAACACCCACCTCAAAAAATGGTGGCGTTACTCGTCAGTTTGCCTTGAAAAACACAAAGGTAAGGTACCCTCAAGAAAGACGCGCCCGTAGGTTTTTCTAGGGGTTGATTCCCCATTATTCTCAGCCATCGTTCTTTTCAAAAACCCATTTCCCCGGGTTTTTTGGTGGTTTTCTAGAAAGATCTGGATCCCTGGAAAGAATGGAAATGGAAGTTACCCCTAGAGTTTTGTAAGGTACCCTCAAGAAAGACACGGCCCACACAATTTACCTCAACCAGCCAAAAAAAGAAAGGGGTACCCATGGCACCCTGACGAAAGACACGCCCATAGGTTTTGCTTCGAGCGCCGCTGTGAAATTTATGCGAGCCGCGAAGTCCCCGGGCTTCACATGGCGCCAGGCGATCCGCTCGAAGCGGTTGGCCTCGAAGTCATAGCGCCAGCACTGCCGCGCGTTCTCGCGGCGGTCGTCGGCGCGACGCCGGGAGTCCTCGTAGAGGTCCTGAGAAGGAACAAAGCATTGGGTTGTTTCATATATATATATATATATATAAATACGTATATACATGGATAGATATAATATATATATATATATTATATATACATTTATATAAACAATCCATGTGACGGGTTTATATTAAACAAAACATCCAAGAAGAAAACAAAGGCCCAAAATGATGGTGTTCCTTTTGGCTTTCCTTAAACAAACGAACACGAAAAGGGACATCTGGAAAAAAGACACACCCGTAAAACCCTTTTACATACTGGAAATATAGTTGTGTATCCAGTGAACCCCCTGGGGGGAGCGGTTTGGGGGGTACTTGGACACTCAAAGTTGATTCAGGGTAGATCTTTCGGGTTCGCCCAAATCCCAGGCCCAAATCCCAGGTGTGATGCTTCCGCTGATTTTCATGGAATTATGGGACCCCCTTGTTGTGCTCGAAGTAAAACATCGACTAGTTCTGCACTAGTTGCATCCACCTATTAATTGACTCTTATAAGTCCGTTGTCTAATCCGATGGTACCGTTTGGTTTGGAGGGGAACAAGAAAACACATGTCCGTGAAAAAATCCGTAAAACTCGTCGATTCTCCCCAGCTCCAGGAGACACGCAAATGCCCGCACCAACACTCGGTAAATGTTGACTCAAACGGAACCCGGCGCCAGAGAGCGAGTTCCCAAATTGCCTCAGTGTTGGAGGGGTATCTTGTTAACCTCAAACAACGAGGTGGCTGTGGCTCACACAAGTGGTACGCACTTTTGGTCTCCTTGGAAGCAAAGACCAGGACCTGCGTAACCCCAGCTCTTTGATTCTGAGCCACACCCAGGTATTTATAATGACACAACGATGCTATGTTCGATATATCTAAAACCAGCGGGTATTTGGACTAAGTAGCATAGGTCGCTCCCATTCGCCATGGGGTTTCAAACTCCCTTCTAATCGCCTCCAGTCCGCTGCAGCTGTTGGTTCTACGTTTGCCCCAGAGTCCTTCCCACAAGGATCCTGGAAATTCCGAGGCCTGTGACCATGAGAAACAAAAAACCCGACGGACCGGGTCCAAATGCAAGAGCGAGATGCTCCTTGGAAAAGATAGCAGGGATCCGGATGCACTATACACCTGAACATTGCAACTTGTAAATGGTGGTTTCCAACTTTAGTTTGTTGAAAAAGCAACATGTTTCAAATGGTGGCAACATGTATCTTTTAAGGAGCCCTGGACATGTTTGAGACTTTGTTTTAGGTGCGCGCTTTATTTGGTGAGTACGCCTTTCTTCCTTCTCAAGTCAAGTGGCTGCCACAAATGGAACCCTGTTAAATGGAAAGAAGGACTAAATCCTGCGGTCCCCTGGTGGTTTAACAATGACCCATATTCAAGAGGTAGATGCCTTTTCTGAAATAAGAGGAAGACCAGGTGGGCAAGGGCTTGTTTCCTGATACTTCCAAAAAGGAAACCCACTACTCCAACAACCCCACTCTCAGTTATTCAGCGACCCTGGAAAAAAGACGGGAACCCTTTTTGGGGAAGACCTTTTTTAGTGGGGCATGCAGCCACCAAACAAGAAGGGAAAATTAGTGCCACTGAACAACGGACGCACTTGTTCAAGGTGTTGCAAAAAGAGTTTGTTCATGGCAAATACTTCCACTATGCCCTAAAAACGGCGGGCACTTGGAGCTTTCCAGCAAAATATATCTCTTAATTTCCGCAGAGAACTTCCGGGCTCGGTTTTTCGGAATCAATCAGCCCGACAAAAACCAGAAACCAAGCTTCTACCTTTGTGCTTTGGCCACTTCAGTCACTGGGTTTCCCCTCTTGATCACTGGGGGTCATTGAAAGGATCCCGACTTTCTTGGGGAAAATTCAGGGGACCCCTGTTGAGGCTCGATCAGTGTGTTTCGTTCCGCTTGCTTCGGTCCTTCAGCGAGGTCCAAGCAAGGACAGCGATGTAGGGGAACACTTTGCCTCGCATTCTCTCAAATACCCCACCGACGTTGCCAGGTCTAGCTCGAGTCAAGTTCCATGTTTGTTGGTGGGAGGGTAAGCTAGAGGTGATTGGTTCTCCTTTCATTTGCCTAACGCGTAATTAAACCAACTCCACGCAAAATCCGGTGTTTGTTCACAGGTCAAGATCTGGGGAATTTCAAAACTTGGGGCTTCATTTGACATCCAAACAAGGCTTTCCGGTCATCGACCTGTCGCTTGAAGACGAAAAGGGGGTAGTCACACATAATTTGCGATGTTCTACATTGGTGATTGCCTTCAGACTCGGAGCAACCCTGCTAAGCAAACGGGGTGTGTCCTTTTCTGTGGAACCTCCTTTGGGTTGGCTTTAAGGGGAAGCAAAAGGAACACCATGATTTTGGGGGTCCCCCCCCAAAACAAACAAGCACGAGTCCCAACGACGCGCAATGCCATTCGTGAAACAGATCCAATCGGCGCGCCAGGTGTTTAGTGTCCTGGGCTCCTGAGAATTTTCCCTTTAAATGCACCCTCAAATCCCCAGTTCCCACAAATCCAAAGCACCGATTAGGGGATGCCTGACTTTAAGCATTACCCCACCCAAAAATAAGAAGCTCAACAACACTGGGCGCGCGATGTCTTAAGACCTTGACTGGGTCTCTTTTCCTTTTGAGGGTACGGCAAGAATGTTCATAGGGCATTCAACAAGTCCGATTGCTTTCCTGCTGCTTGGCCTGAATTTCTTCAAAGGGCCCCAAAGAGATCGGGTTATCCTGTACATCAACACCACCTGGCTGAGGTTGACCTTGCTACCGTTGTTCATCCTGTGAGCCAATTCACGCAGAATACCGCAGGGTGCCCCTGAAGCTGGGTTGATGCGTCCCTGCCCAAAAAGGATGAACTGCTTTCTGGCAGCGTAGTCAACACATAGGTTGAACAAGTTTGAGCAACTAAGGGAAGAGATGGATCTATCCCATGGGACAGCGTGTATAACGTTACTGACTGCAGCTTGCTTGTTGATTCAACTCCCGTGGTTTAACAACTTGTATTTTGATTCCAGCCCCCACTGAAGGACAAGAAAACCAGTTTGGCTCTGGACACTTCTCAGTCAGTCGGTCTTGCCGGCACCAAGCCAAGTGGGTGTGTCCTTTTTGTAGGGGACCCCCCCGCTACAATGGCAACTTTCCTCTGTGTTCCAACACCCTAAATCGGGTACCGAGCCTCACAAAAGAGGCTAAGCCGCTAAGCCAAGCAGCTCTGCCATCGCTTCGGGGAGAAGGGCAGGCACACGATCACCGCGATGAAGAGGAAATAGAGATTGGCCGCGCGCTGGAACTGATACCTTCACGGCTCGCCGGAGACGGGGAGACCGACTGCAGGCAAAGAGACTTGGCTTTGACGTTAAAGTCGAACGTGGAAGTTGCTGGCTGGAAGCAATACCACATGTTCTAAATTGAAAAGCATGGTGCTTCCCGGAAGAAAAAAACGACGAAGAGTACTTGTTGTTTATGACAAAATAATCGGCTCTTTCATGGCGTTTGAAGATTGGAAAGTACCACCAAGCAAAACACCCAAAACGCCAACGTGTGGGGGTTTTGGAGCACAACATGCTTGAGTCTAAGCCTAGTGTGGTAAAATTCGCGGATGGTCCAAGCGGTACAACTAAGGCAGCCAAGGCGCCACAGGGATTTCGGAAGCCAGGTAAGTGCGGTAAAGCCTCGCTATGACTTTTTCTTGGCGACACGGACGGCATTCGAGCCTTTCTGACGAACCTTTCCATTTCTGCTTGGCTTTCAAGGGAAACTGAGAGGAAACCGCCAAAACGAGCTTGAAGGTTGAACAGTGAGATCTTGCCAGTGTGTCACAGAAGTAGTGCCGCCTCCTCTCATCGACGCGGTGGTGGTAATGTGAATATGTCAAGTTCAAAATAGCAAGACATAGCAAGCAAATGCTTGTTGGGATTGAAATAGAGCCTGTGAAAAGTCAAACGTTACATCCCCTATTGCTTTCCTCTGAAGAAAAAAAAAACATGGGGTTAGTTGGTCCCAATTGTGTTGCTGTTGTCAACTTGAGACAAAGTCCCAGATTTCTGATTTTGACGTTTAGAACCAAGCTAACGGCTCCAAAGTGATTCCCTCTCACCCAGTCAGCTAATGGTGAATCAACCACTTTTGAAGAGTGCAGGATTCCCTAGCAAATTGGACCACCCCGATTGATCACTTGGTGTATTAATCCTGGGTTCTCCTTACATCCAAACTTCAAGATAGCTCAAACCGGCAAACAATGCAGGGTGTCTTGCCAGTGCATGTTCAAATAACTCACTTCCAGTGTGGACGGGCAAAAAAAAGGACCGAGCTGTCTGTTTACCATTAAAACGGCCTTCACCAAAAGCAGAAAAAAGAGGAGCGGGTGGGACGAGGAGCGGGTGGTAGACACCAAATTCGGCTCCCCTTGCGTGAGGAGGGCGGGCTCCACATCCGGACCCGGATACTTGAAGCTCCTGAGGCCAAATCCCATCGTGGACCTCTAAAATCGTCTGAAGACGATTCGCCACTCCAGCGACTTCTGAGGCAATGAAATTCCATGACTTGAAAATTGGTAATGCTGACCCAGGATCAATGTATCCCCCCCTTATTCCCCAGGGAAGAGGGGGAGGGGGGGTATTAAAAAGAGGGGTCGCCCAAGTACTCTGTTTGGGGAAAACCTTGAAACATTCTCTGACCCTCCATATTTAGGGGCAATCCCTGATGTTGTATGGGTAGTTGGAAGGTCCAGGCACTGATTTGTCCAAATCCGACTCGGAATGCGGTCCTCTGTGCATCATGGACCTGCCTCATATCTGTACACTGAAGCAGCTATGCTCCTACCGGGAGACGAAAGTCTCCTTTTGGGCACCGAGAGCCTTCCTTCCGTCTGGCCTCGTTTTCTTCTGAAAAAGGAACGCTGAGGACTTGGGTGAGCCCTTCAAGAGGGGCAGTGCTCGCGTTGACCCAAAGAGAGGCAAAAGATGGAAGCGTGAAAAATCTGCGAGAGGCAAGGTTCTTAGTCTCTGAGTCGCTCAAACGACAAGCAAAAGATGGAAGGGTTCTTAGTCGCTTAGTCGCTCAAACGACAAGCTACCTGCCGAGACCATGAAAACCACAGCAAGTATCCAGACTTGGCCCCATGTGTTGCGTGGGTCTTGCTTTCATGTTGCCCAGGCTTGGGCCCAAGGTCTGTGGAACCGGCTCGAGCCTCTCAGGTCAGACGCGTTTGCGTGGTTCATTTAGACATCGGTTTGTGTGTTTTCTTTTTTCTTTTTTATTGAGTTAGTACCCTTCTCATCGAAAGATGTTTGAAGAAAACCAAAAACATGAAACAACAAACTCTTGTTTGGGTCCGCCAAGCTTGACACGTATCCTTTTCCTGACTTGGGTGAACTTAGTGAATACCCCAACCCGAGTAACGGACCACATTACTGGTCGATGGTTGTTCATTTGGAGAGGACATGGTTGCCGCCCAATATATACCCCGAACTCTTCAGAAAAAAATAGGAGGCCTACCCAATTGAACCAACTGTATTGTTGTCCGGGGCTCGTTATGTTCATTGACATGGTCCGTCTCTTTTTGAGGGCTCTGCGATCATCCCGACCCAATAGTAACACTAGGTCCTCCAGTAGAGAGGTTAGAATAAGGGTACCCTTTTTTCTGTAGTCTATTTTAGTAGAGGAACCCTCCCCCAAAAAAGGGTAAAGGGCCACTACTGGGGGACCTAGAACAACCATGGCACATGAAGCGACTATGAACCCGACCTCCCAAAACCATGGCGCTGCTAGACTTGGGACTTGCTTTTACCCCTCCCAGTTGCACGTCGCCTTAACAAACCACCCAACCAAGGAAGAGGATCAAGGTGATGGGCCATCCCGCAGTTCATCTTTTGGGTCTTGCCACGACCGGTGTCCTTTGGAAGGCTGACAAAGACAACACGTAACACGGTCATTTGGCGCTTGGGCTTTATCCTGAGAATCTTAGGACCTGCAAAAAACGCCGGACGTCGAAACCAAAGCCTTCAAAGGGCATCTATGCGGGTCCTTTCTGCTTGGGAAAGCAAGGAGCCAACATGTTGATTTGGATGATTCAAACACAGAAGCCTACACCCAAGCGAGTGTAGAAAAGGATTCTGTTGGTCTACTGGGTTTCTATGCGCCATTGGGCTGGCTTTGGCTCAAATCAGTTTTCACAGCCAAAGCCACAAAGGCAATGCCAACATCGGGACGTGAATCGTGAAGAGCAACTTGTCTAACGTGAAACATCTCCAAGCACTAAACTTGGTCCACATCGCACTCCATAAAACAAACGTTCAAACTCTGTGATTCAAGCTCTGTTTTCCATATTTGGTTGGTTTGGCTGGGTTGTTTGGGTTGGTCGGGTTGCTTGGTTTGGTTGGTTGGGTTGGGTTGGTCTACCCTCGGCACAAAACTGTGATCTGGAGGAGACCTCCCTTGCTGGGAGGGGGCACCGAGGAGTAGTCAGACCTTGGCCACCTGAACCTACCTGAAATTGGAGTTCTTTGGAGCTGGCTTTTCTTTTGCCTGGGCTACAAAGGTGGAAAACACGAGGAGACCCGCAAAAAATGATGCGGCCCCTCTAGTTTGACACATACTCTGATGTGGACAGCCCAAACGGATCGAGCTGAGCCTCCACCCAATTGCGACGAAGCAGAAGAGCGGGTTAATTGATTCCATGCTTTTGCCTGCAAACCAACAAACTAGTGGTCCGTTAACCCATGCAAAAAGTTGATCACTCCTCGGATTTGTCCGCAATCCAACTCTAAACTCTGAAAGTATCTAAGGCCGGAGGAAGCTGGGTGCACTTCACACGTTGCTGGGTCCACTCGTGCGTTTCCCTTTTGGGAGTTGGACCCAAGCGCAACGGCTTCCTGTTTGATCCTAAGGCTCTCAACTGGTGTTGGGGGGGTTGTGGTGTTGGGCGGTCAGAAATCCAGGTCCTGTCCCAATGTCCCAGACTTCTGAAGAAAAGTGGATACCCAGTTGCGCTGGATGTCAGCGGGCTTCCCCAGCAAAAAAAGCAGAAAAGGGGATAAGAGGGGGTTGGTTGCATTCAAAGAGGCTCCCCCGAAATGACAAAGCAGGAAAGGACACGTACAGGAGGTTTGAAATTTTGGATGCGCGCGCTTTTTGTCTGCGAGGCAGCTCTTCTCGATGGATTCTCTCCGCCGATGTGGGGTTGCCCTGTTTGCCCTACCCCAAACCTGCTTTCTGGACCTCCATATGGGGTTCTACAAGTACACCTGCGATTACATTGGCAAATTACCGGAAAGAGTGCCAAATAACCAGGTTTCATCCGGAAATAGGGCCCCATCAAGTCTTGTGGTTTATGGGCCCAAAGGCTTGTATGTTTCTGTTGAGGGCACCCAGTGTAGCCATTCATGGGGTCCCCAAGTTCAACACATACCCGAAAAATTAAAAGACAGGTTGAGGGGCCCCCTGAGATGATGCGCCGCCGCGTGTCATTAACAGGCTGCCTTGGCCACTCTCAGTGATCCATGACGGTTTCAATGACCTCATGCGCACGGCTCCGATTCATTCGCTCGCATCGATCGGAAAAAGCTGGCTGACAATCGGCTAAGGGGAAACCACAGGAGTAAGACAAATCAAGACCGTTGCGGTGTTCGCAAGAAGTCACAAGCAGACCTGGGTGCACAAAGGCAAAACCCTGCTTCGAGGCAGGAAAAAACCTTGGGAGAGAAAGGCTCTTGCCAGACAGTACAGCTCATCCAAGTTTGAGTGGGCCAGCGCATGTCGGCGAACGCGAGAGGGGCTTTCGTAGAAGCCTTCTTCGGCATGCTCCTTCTTTTCAATCATTTCCACGGGTTGATTCCCCATTCTTTTCAACCATCGTTCTTTTCAAAAACCGGATCTCTTTCCCTGGGTGTTTGATGGTTTCCTGAAAAGAAAGATCCCTGGAAAGAATGGGAAAGGTAGCCCCAGAACACTCCCTGGATCCTCCAGAAGCTCTCAAGCCCATTGGATCCCAGGCGGCTTGCCTCGTAGGTAGCCTTTCGGCATTCTCCTCTTAGTCTTTAGAGTGGTAAACGTGGAACTGGGTTTAGCTACAAACCCGGGGAAATGATTCAAGCTTGAGGCTCCCAGCCAGTTTCACGGGAAAAACAAGAAGGGAATAATCACCTGGAGGTGTGGTATCCGGCCACATTAACAAAGCGGTATTCCAAGGAAAGACATGGTCGCACAGTGCTTCCAGCTACCAATATGGTAGGTCACCAGGTGGTTCTTACCTCTAGGTTTTACATGGTTGCCCCTGGATTCGTGGCAACTGCAAGCGCTCAGACTCTAAAGTCAATCATCATTTTGGTCCGACCACAGGTCACAAGGCTCCAGTAAAAGTGAGTAACGATCGAAACGGATCTCAGTGAGTCAGCTCACATTGGCTGGCTCTCAATTTGGTCGATTTCTATCCCACCGAAACCCGGAATTCAAGCCCTTCCAGCTGGCAAATGGGGAACGTGCATCCCCAACTGGCCCGGAGATTGCTCCAAAGTCGTTCGAAGTTTTTACCATCTCCACCAACGGGTCCAAGCTCAAAAAGTGACTCAAGCAAACAAAAGGAGACTCGGGCAGTTTCTAAAAACTCAGATGCCCAGTGGCCATGGGAAACAAAGGGCAACCTTTTTTTATTGGTCGAGTTTAAGGGGGAACCCTTCCCAAAAAAAGAGAAAAAGGGCACCACTGGGCAACTGGGGAAAAGGCCTGGGGGGAAGTGCTCAGGCGATTTTCTCTTTGCGTGCTGTGGTCCATCCGCCGAGCCCTCACGCGTTCGCGTGACCTTTGAGCAATCCGGACACTTCATTGCACTTTGACAATGCCAGCACTTCATATGGGCAAATTTGGCCAACAACTCACACCGGGGTGCTGAAGACCTTTGTGGGGCATGCCAAGGAAGAAAAAAACGCTTGAGGAGTAGTCCAAACAGGGCCACCTGATTCACTCAAAAGGCGACCCCAAGGAAAGATTGTCATGATGAGGCCGCAACCCCCTCGGTCGGTGAGGTTGCGACAGAATTTGCCCAAACATCAGAACTTCATATATTTTACATTGCACTTTGACAATGCCAGCACTTGGCAGCGTGTCAAAACCAAGAAGAGGCCCTGCGAGGGCCTTGGGCCGCTTTTGGCCTGGTCTTGAGTCACGCGCCTTCAGATGAAACTCCACTCTCTTCACAGCCGGCCGTAGCCTCAAGCGGGACAGCCATAGGAAGCAAACAGGACTCGCCCCTCCCCCCCTCCCCCCCCTCCCCCCCCTCCCCGGTTCTTCATGAATGGAACCCACTCCAAAACAAATAGGTAAAAGCGGCAGACTGTTTTCGGTTGACGTTAATGCCTCCGATGTGGGACAAGGCGGACCAGTTTGTTGATGGCTTGTGGGCGATGTCACCTTCGGAAAAGGGAGGACAAAGGCACCCGTGTGCCATGGTTCTTCTTTTCAAGTAGCAGTTCGCACTGAAACATGTGGAGCGAAGCGGGAAGCTTTGCCATGTCTGATGTGTTGGTTCCAGCTATTCTTGGGCTACAACCCACTTATAAGTCCCCAGATAACCCTGCTTGGGTGCTAAGCCAGGTGGCTAACCACTTACCAACTTGGCCAAACATCCGAGTATCCAAGAAGGGGAAGCTGGGTCGGGCCGATCCCTACCAAATACCCTCTTAGGGTATGATGTTGACCCCCGACTCAAAGGGAGGTCTTGATCATGGAAACAATATTTGTTTTTCCTTTTTCTTTTAATATACCAACTCAAAGAGCGGGTATTTGGAGATTATGGAGGTGGCGTTCCCTTCCACAAAAGAACTGGATAAAAAGGGGGAGCTGCGGGCCATGAATTCTCATAAATCCCATTTGAGCCGGACAGAAACTCCAACCAAAATGACACGTCCGCGATCCTTTAAACACATCACACCCATGTGTCCTTTTTGAGGCACCCTGCTTGGATTGGATTGAAGGGATAAATGGAGCCCCTCCTGAACCTAGGGTGCCCTTGCACACAAACCCAGATGCCTCTACTGTGATTGACGTGAAAACAACAAGCCATCCTTTGTGGAGGAAAGTCTTTTTGCGGGGACATTTTCTGGGGTTCCATGTGGGTCTGTCTCTTTTTGAGGATACCCTTTTTGCTAGTTCTAAAGGGAAACCAACAGAAGAAAAACAGTGTGTTGGGTCCAACCCTAAAGAAACACCCCCCATGTTGATGTCTTGGTGTTTGGTGGTGATTTCCCATTTACCCTCTACAAGAGCATGGTTCAAATCCAAGTCCCAACCCAAACCACAAATTAACTTGCTGGTGCTCAGTAGGGGATGACCAAGGTGTTGGGAATGCACCTAGGGATTCCCTTAAAGGAAACCACAAGGGCTGGTTCTTCTTGGGGTCATTCCATCTCTCTCATTCCCTGAGCATCAGCAAGGGGTATACCTAAGATCTAGGGGAGTCCACCCAACAAGACCACTTTGGTGTCAGAAACCAAATCCAAAAACCCATCCAAACCGTACTGAATTGGGTGGACCTGACTCCTGGAGCCCTCCAAAAAAACCGAAACAACACGGGTCGAACGACCGACCGGTCGACCGTCCTGAGGCGCGGCAGCAAATGCAGCACATGCACGCGGAGATGACAAAAGAGGCGACGGCGGCGATGAAGAGCATCACCAGCTGCTCGCCGCTCCTGGCGGAAAAAGCGGCGGGGGGGAGACGAGGGGAAACCGATCTCTGGAGAGTTGCAAAAAGGGAAACCTACCCCCTACTCAAATTTCCCCGCGGTTTTTCCAGGGTATGTTTAGGGGAAAACCGGGTTTTCCATGGTAATCCTCCTTGTTTAGTAGAGGGTCGACATGATACCTGAAAAAAGAGGGTATTTGGAATGGGGGGTATCCCTTTGGTTGCAACGAAGGAACCTATGAATTTGTGGTGCAACAGGAAATTAAGCGTGTTTGGTGATTTATGTCTATGATCTCTGGAGACGAGGGGAAACCGATCAATTTTCTCGGTTGCAACGCGGGAAACCTATAAATTTAGCACAACTCTTCGATCCAGGTGCCTGTTCGTTTTGAAAGGATGACTCCATTGGTTGAAACCTGTAACTGTACTTGGTTGCTTTCTGCTCCCCTGCTCAAAGTTTAACTCACTTCTAGTGGTTTGATACGGAAAACCCATTCGGTGGCAAAAAGTTAAAATCCTAATAGGCAAAATGCAACAAAGTTTGGCTGCAGCGAGGACACCTATAAATGTGTGGTGTAACCGGAAACTAAGCATGTTTGGCGATATATATTTGAAACGTTACTACAGTGGGATGCCAGGTTGCCAAGCGGTATGGGGATTCACTGAACCAAGAGTGAGCATCCCCCTAACTTAGGATACTGTTGCAAAAAGGAAACCGTTCCTCCCCTCTTGTTGCAACAGGAAACCTATCCCTTGTGTTGCAACAGGACATCGAACATGTTTGGCGATATGTATATATATATATATTTCAAAGACGCTGCTATGCATCAACATAGGAGAAGTAGTAGAACGCAATAAACCAACAGAATCGAAACTCAAAACAAAAAAGAACGACTCGAACAATGATACTCCTAAAAGTCACGCGGATGTATGAAACCCTTTGGAGCTGGCAAAAGTGTTCATTGGCCAAAGTGCATCCTGTCAGGAACAGAGCGATCAGGAGCTTTGGGGTCCAAATGAAAACTGGTCAATCATGGAAACCAAAAACGAATCCCCTCCCCCGTAATCTCCGAATTCCCTTCTTTCTCTATAGGGCAATATTTGAATAGACCTGGCGTTATATCCGCCGACATTGCTCGGCGTGTCGGATACTTACTAGAGGATAGAGGATAACCCCCCCCCTAACCCCCCCCCGCCCGACGTCTATTACGTAGGTTTTTGGGGGGGGGGGGGGTCCCCCACGTACCGCGCGGCAATTTGATGACGTTCCACTAAACGTAGTCTTCGGGGAGCCGGTGTCGCAAAACAGGGGTCCCAGGCTCGATTCCCCCTGCCGGCTTTTTTGCTGGCTTGGGCTTCCTGCATCCTTTTGCCGAAAATCTGGAAAAACTCAATGATTTTGGACGTCCTCTTTGCGAAAACGCTGGAAAAACCGTGTTTTTTTTGCGGGAAATACTGGGATGCAAATGGCATGCATGAAGCATGCAATGCATGCATACATACATACATACATGTACATACATACATTACATACATACATACATTACATACATACATACATACATACATACATACATACATACATACATTACATACATACATACATACATACATACATACATACATACATACATACATACATACATACATACATACATACATACATACATGACATACATACATACATACATACATACATACATACATACATACATACATACATACATACATACATACATACATACATACATACATACATACATACATACATACATACATACATTACATACATACATACATACATACATACATACATACATACATACATACATACATACATACATACATACATACATACATACATACATACATACATACATACATACATACATACATACATACATACATACATACATACATACATACATACATACATACATACATACATACATACATACATACATACATACATACATACATACATACATACATACATACATACATACATACATACATACATACATACATACATACATACATACATACATACATACATACATACATACATACATACATACATACATACATACATACATACATACATACATACATACATACATACATTACATACATACATACATACATACATACATACATACATACATACATACATACATACATACATACATACATACATACATACATACATACATACATACATACATACATACATACATTACATACATACATACATACATACATACATACATACATACATACATACATACATACATACATACATACATACATACATACATACATACATACATACATACATACATACATACATACACATACATACATACATACATACATACATACATACATACATACATACATACATACATACATACATACATACATACATACATACATACATACATACATACATACATACATACATACATACATACATACATACATACATACATACATACATACATACATACATACATACATACATACATACATACATACATACATACATACATACATACATACATACATACATACATACATACATACATACATACATACATACATACATACATACATACATACATACATACATACATACATACATACATACATACATACATACATACATACATACATACATACATACATACATACATACATACATACATACATACATACATACATACATACATACATACATACATACATACATACATACATACATACATACACACATGCATTACATACACATACATACATACATACATACATACATTACATACATATACATACATACATACATACATAACATACATCATTCATACATACATACATGCACATGCATGCATACATACACATACATACATACATACATACATACATACATACATACATACACATACATATACATACATACATACATACATACATACATACATACATACATACATACATACATACATACATACATTACATTACATTACATTACATTACATTACATTACATTACATTACATTACATTACATTACATTACATTACATTACATTACATTACATTACATTACATTACATACATACACATACATACATACATACATACATACATTACATACATACATACACATACATACATACATACATACATACATACATACATACATACATACATACATACATACATACATACATACATACATACATACATACATACATACATACACATACATTACATACATTACATTACATTACATACATACATACATACATACATACATACATACATACATACATACATACATACATACATACATACATACATACATACATACATACATACATACATACATACATACATACATACATACATACATACATACATACATACATACATACATACATACATACATACATACATACATACATACATACATACATACATACATACATTACATACATACATACATACATACATACATACATACATACATACATACATACATACATACATACATACATACATACATACATACATACATACATACATACATACATACATACATACATACATACATACATACATACATACATACATACATACATACATACATACATACATACATACATACACATACATACATACATTACATTACATTACATTACATTACATTACATTACATTACATTACATTACATTACATTACATACATACATACATACATATGCATACATACATACATACATACATACATACATACATACATACATACATACATACATACATACATACATACATACATACATACATACATACATACATACATACATACATACATACATACATACATACATACATACATACATACATACATACATACATACATACATACATACATACATACATACATACATACATACATACATACATACATACATACATACATACATACATACATACATACATACATACATACATACATTACATACATACATACATACATACATACATACATACATACATACATACATACATACATACATACATACATACATACATACATACATACATACATATGTACATGCATGCATACATACGAGAGAGGGAGAGTGGGGAGAGAGAGGCTTGGGGGGATGGGGAGGATGGGAGCAGAGGGAGGGAGAGAGGACGACAGAACACACAAGGGAGACAAGGAAGAGAGGAAGAAGGAGAAAAGGGAGAGGACAATGTCGGCGGACTGAGCCGGAGGCTCTAAAGTTGTAAATTTGTCCTTTGCTAGTCCGGGGTTGACATCATAGGCATTTGCACTTAGTATTTCGGAGCTCCGGATTGCTCTGGCCCTCCGACCCAATAGCTCAATCAGCTCTTGGGGAAAATCGAAAAGCAAAAGGACCAACTGGACCAAAGCAAGGAACATGGTCCGTGGCCAATGGGTCCCCCAATCGCAATGGGTGCTTTTGGAGGCCTTTTTAGGTCGCTGTCCCCTCTTCCCCTAACCATGGGAAACATGTGGGTGTGCCTTTTTGAGGGTAGCACTGTTGGGGTTCGTTAAAAAAAAAAAGAACTAAAAGCAAAACTATGACATATTCGGATCTGGGTATTTAAGACGATTTTATCTAGAAACCAAATGCAACATCTGCCATTTGGCTCAGCAGCAGGTCTGGCCCCACGATCAAGCTGCCGCCGCCGCCCGTCGGATTCGTCGGGTCCGTGGGAGTCGGGCCGGACGGGGCCAAAGGGCCGCTGCCCCCGCCGTTGGACATGCAGATCTCGTTGTATTCGCCTTCACATCCTCGGCGAAGTGCAAACCCCACGAAAACGACGAGATATATCTACATAATGATATGACGTAGTGCATATATATATATATAGGCTACGCCCCTTTTTCTGGTCGTGGTGTCCCCGTGTTGCTTAATTTAAACGCGCAGGTTGTATAGTTTTCATGTTTTTTCAGTTGGTGCGCCGTCTTGTTTTCGCTTAGGCAGGCTGTAGTGGTTCAGATACGCAGGCTCATGTCCATTTCATCTAGTTTTGGACAGAGAGCAATTCCATTGCACCACTCCTTTAAAGAGGCATCCCAAGCAAACATGTATCAACATATAAACATGCTAGAGGCCTGCATAGAAACTGGACCCACACAAGGCAAACTAGGTACCCCTTGAACCAAAAACAGTTAGAAGGCCGTTCAATTGCTTTTTGGCAGAGAACCGAGCTGGCTTTCCGTGCAATTTCTTTGCGCAAGTTTCTCTGCGCAAGTTCTCTGAGCAAGTTTCTCCGAACAAGTTCTCTGAGCAAGTTTCTCTGGGCAAAAAAATGGGTGAAACGCTTCGATGAAAGATGGTAACGGAATATCTACCTCTTGCACACAAGAAATGCATAATTTATGGACTCAAGATTCACAATTGCCCAGGAAGCTGTCTCCAAATTTTGACTCCGCAAAAAAGTCCATAGAGTCAGTTTCAGCCTATAGTATAGTGTATTAAGCCATGTTGCTCTGGTTTCGGACATAACGAAATTCCATTACAAGAAGAAACTAAAACAAGCATTCCAAGCAAGATGTAGACATGCCAGACCCCGGAGAAACAAAAAAACAGACATGGAACCGGGAAAGCAAACTTGAGTATCCCCGGAACAAAAAAACATGTTTTTCAAGAATCAATCATCATCATTGCCCAGCAAAGCATTGTCCAGGAAACAAATCCATATTCAACATGGAATCTTGCGCATGAAAATGGTTGTAACACTTGACCCCTAAAATTATGACTGCTGAATCCAAACATTTCAATACAGTACGTAGATCCACAATGCAGGATTTCTGCTTTAAGGGGAATAAATCATCTCTTTGAATGTCTCCCCGTGAAATCTAAATACCGGTATTGAGGTTTCTTAGCACTGTCATGCAGTTTCCTTAATACCCGGTGCTGAGGAATCTGGATCCAAGATCCAAGATTGCTGGCGGACTTTTGAGGGAAATCTTGGATCCAGCAACGCACCCCCCTTGAACCCGGACTCTGGATCCAAGATCCAAGACCCAAGATTGCTGAAGGACTGTTGAGGAGAATCTTGGATCCAGCAATGCCCCCCCTTGAACCCTTAATACCGCTATTGAGAAACGACATACAGTTGATCAATTTCACAGAAACGCCAACCTAACATAAGAACCTCCCCCCCCAGAAAAGAATCGTCGCGATTCCTGGCGAGGTTGCGAAACCCATTTGCCACAAATGATTGAGCCACAGCCATCTCAAGGACTTGTTCACCTACTCAGAGTAACATACTGACCTTTGTCAAATTGTCAAGGTCAATATAGAGAGACTCCCAAATCAGGCTTGCGAGATTTCTCTGCAAGGGTTGGGGACACCTGTACCATGGTGTTGAATGGACACCTTGAAGCCTTGCTCGGCAGATTTTGGGAAGACGCTTCTTTCAGACAAGCTGAGACATATTTTAGTGCGTTGGGCAAGCTGCAAAAGCGTGTCAACGAAGCAATAAAGTAAGTGTTCCCGGCAGGCAAGAAAAGACGGCGCAACACACATCATGTAAAGGTTGTTGGAGTGGAAAGAGCCGAAAGGCCTCGGCGGGCACGCCGCCACGCGTAACGCCCATGTCCAAACCCCTTTTGGCTGCCCTTTGGTTAGATTTAACATGTTACTTAGCAACCAGTGTCCTCCATTTGCTTCAGTCCCCCGTGGAAAAAACAAACATATTCAAGTGGCTATAGGTCCCTTTAAAACCAGCAGAGGAGCAAACAACATCTCCTGAAGCAAGTGGAAGGAACGTTTTGAGGTTCCACATTTTCACAAACCACATGATGAACTGAGAATCTATAGAGATCCACGAGCTGGCCCACATCTTCCTTGCTCATGTGCATCCGTTGCCCGATCCGGAAGTATCTATATCTCCCGGGATCGTCCGTGTACAGCGAGTAGCCTGCCGCTTGGAAGCAGTGCTTTTCTACGCCCTGAGCAACCAGTTGCCTTTGGCTGATCCCTCAGTTGAAACCAAGAGGAAATGAAGAAACCTGCTTCCATGATCCTTGAAAGAAAACCAAAGGAAACCAAAGGAAACTTAACTAGCGTTTTCTCGTCTTACGGCTCGGAGCAACGCTGGGAGACGCTCATCCCTCGCCACTCCAAATACCCCCGCCTTTTTCGCAGGATGTCGACTGACTGAAGAAGACATGGATCTACCGGGGGAAAAAGAAACAACACATTTCATGATTCCCTGGCAACCATTAGTCTCCCCAAAATATACGTCATAGATTTGGAGGAGATCGCAACTGATCGCAAAAAACATGAAATGCCCCCCCCGCAAGCCCCCCGAGAGTTTCCGCATGGCCCTGCATAAGGCTTTGACAGTGGGGACTCTGCATGGTATCATGATCCAGTGAAGTATCACCTTACTATATTTGATTGGGGGTACCAGCCCCATTTTGGTTTCAAAAGCAACTGGGGCTTAAGTCCTGCCAAAGGGATACCTGACACTTTGACTCCATTGCTCCAGGTAGCTGTCGCTGAGACCAACTCCGGAACTCCACATCCCCGTTTTGGGGGGGGGGGGCATCCCACAACCCTTTCCCGATATGAGATCACAAACAACGGTTCACCAACCCAAAGAAGCTCAACAACACAAACGAATGAAACCGGGACATCGATGCTGCTGCTCAAGATGCGGGCAATCCAAAACATCATGGCTTCCCTGTGGCTTCCCTTTCAGCTTCCCGAAGCCAACCCCCATATTCCCCCTGCCTTGCGTGTGAAAGGGTTGCCCCCCTATCCCAATCGCATTTTTAAGCTGGGTCGTTCTCCCCCTCCTCCGAGAAGAAACAGGTCCAACATTTTGCAGACTTAACGAAAAAGCAAGTTGCTTTGAAAAGGCCGCTCTGGGTCACACCAAAGGCCAGCCATGTAAGGGGCCTGTGGATGTGTTCATTCAGGGTCTCTCTGAATGGGCATGCTGCCGCTGCCTGCAGGCTTCACCAGAATCGTCTCTTGGCCATTCTTCGTGAAGGACATAGATCCTCCGGCGCCCAAGAAGTTGCTCCCCAACTAAGGTGTGCCCAGCTGCGGAGTGGTTCAGTGGGTCTCCCAGATAGGGCTCAAACAAAAAATCGGGGATTAGAAAATACCCACTGGGAGTGTTGCTACATGGCTATGAATTTTAGGGGGAACCCCCTCCAAAGTGGTTGGTGGACATGGATCCCCGCCCAAATGATGTCCGCCAAAGGGTCCCTAATTAACATTCAGACCCACATGGTTTTCATGGAAATACACACTTTGGTCAAACTCTTAAAGCGTGAGGGTTGTAAAGCAGCCAAGGATCCATAGTGCATGATCGACATGATATCGTAGGGCCGGCTGATATCCGCTTTGGAGTTCTTGGTGAACTGATCCTCCATGCCTGGCTTGATGTTATTCCACAGCACCGAGATGTAGGTGTCCCGGTCCGGGCGAGACTGCTCCTCGAGGAGTAAGTCATGGTCAAAACTGCCACAGACATAGACGTGTGGCATATTCGTGTCTGGTTTTTGTGCGAAATTAAGTGAGTCCCGCATGTCCCTCCCAAATGAATTTGACCGAACCCCGCGCGTCAGAAAAAGGAAGAACAAAATGCCTGATGTTCCTCTCGCTTTCCAAATGCCCCCAGCCCTTCCTCCACAAATCGTGCCCTCACGCACAACACCAGGAAAAAGGCCGGAAACCGTTGGTGGCGATTTTCATATGACAAACACAAAAAACCAGGGACAGCACCTGTCGTTTGTCCGATTCCCCGCATGGTTGCCTTCTGCGTCCCATGGGGTTATTGCTGATTCCGATTCAGGGCAAAACAAAAGAACCATAAAGAGAGGCCAAGCCAAATCACAATATTTCACCCCTTTGAGGTGTCTGCAAACAACGTTACCCTTACACTGAGGGGGGGGGGTTGAAAACAAACCCAAGATTGAGGGATCATCCATTTTGGGGTCAGACCGCAGGTGCAACTTTGTACCTTAATCGAACAAGCAGCTACCCAGACTTACACCCCAAAAGTTCACTTGCTGGCTAAAAGCGAACATGAAGGACATCCAAAAGAGCCAAAGCCGCCAAAAGGTTCGTGCAGTCTGGTGAGTTCGCTCGATTTGAGGCCCAGGTGTTGAGACATCAAATCTGGGTAGGTACAGAATTCAGCTCAAAAGGTTCGGGTCATGCGCAGCCAGCCAGCCGAGGTGCAGGTCACCATGGGTTAGTCCCCAGTTAGCCCCACATCAGGATGATCAAGGTCAGGTAAGTAGGTTGCGGATAGAACTGGTTGGGCAACTGGTTGGTTCGTCCCCCATGGATATAACTTATGAACACTGCAGTGGATCCCAGGCAAACCACCCCCCATCCCATGGTCAACCTAAGTAGTCTGAAGTTTGAGCACCCAAAAAGTGGGTGGCCTAAGTAGTGTGGACCACCCATTCCCAGCTTCCCGGGTGGTTTGGAGCTTAGGAAGTGGTATCCCCTTTACCTACAAGAAGCAGGGGTTCAAATGGTTCAAATCCAAACCACCAATTTAGGGTAACCTGAAACTAGTTTGAACCCTTTACAACCCTTAGTATGGTAGCGGCAGACATGGCAGACTTTTTTTTGCACCCCCTACTTAAAAAAAAGAGAGAGAAAAGAACCAACAAAAAAAAACTAGCATGTTGCCAACAAGAGTGAAAACACCCGAGAAGATCGCCTCACAGTTTCTTTCGCACCAAGGCTCATGCGCCATGCCTAGCGCATGAAGTATCTCGTGGGTGGCCGTGCCGCAGTCGTTGCACCCGGGGGTTTGCAAATTCAGCTTCTGGTTGGAGCCGAAACCGAACCTAGGCTTTTGACTTGGGTGCGTTTTTTTTGAGGCTACCCCAATTGGAGTGGTTTTAAAAGGACACCACAAGGACACTACCCCTGTGTCTCTATTATTTGTCTTTCTTTCTCCATTTATTTATTTTTTTGGGGTGGTCCCCCTATTTTTACACATGTGGAACCTGAACAAAAACAGGCATCAGGTAAAACATCCATAGACTGTCCATCCTTTGGTGCAAAAAAATATATGAAATATGTTTTGCAGTCACTGATTAAAGATCAACTAGAACCAAACCAGTAAATGCTTAAGCACTTGTCAACAACAGTGAAGATAGAGGAATCTTATTTTGGGAGAAAGGCCGCACATGCTTGCCTAGCAGGTTGACACGTCTTGCCGTTGGCTTCTACGGATGATTTGTTTGCCTCCCAACAAACTCGTCAACTAGGTAAACAAAAACAGGGCAACCCGCCCCTCCCAAAAAAAGGAAGAAGAAAAGAAACAGCTGGTACATGTCGATCGCCAAAAATGTGGCCTTCCTTTTGATGTCAAACATGTGGAACCACCCTTAAGCACAAGAAGGACTGGCTTGCAGGTTTCCCATGGCGAGTTTCGCCCGAGATCCGAGGCTAAACAAGTTGAAAAGGGGTGCCACCAACTAGGTCCTCCAGTAGAGAGGTTAGAATAAGGGTACCTTTTTTTCTGTAGTTTGTTTTAGTAGGGGAACCCTCCCCCAAAAGTTGGCAAAAGGGCACTACTGGGGGACTTAGCCAAGCTCCGAGCAACAGGCTGGCGCTCATCCCGATGTTCGCCCAGCACCCGTTGTCCGAGGACTGGATGAAGACCGCCTGAATGCGACAAGAAAGCGAAACACCACCCCACCCCTCCAGTGAGGGCTTTTTGTATTGCACCCTGGGATTACACCCTTGGGAAATGACCCAGAATGGTTCAAAATAACACGGCTTTATCCGGAAATGTGCCTAAATGGGGGTCAATACCCAGTGGGTATTCCCAAGGTGTAATGCAAAAACCCTTAGATCCAGGGGATTTCCATTGGAAAGCACTGCACTTTACAGTTGGGGATCTTGATCTTATAGCGAAACCCCAGACCCCAGGGCTTTCAGCTGTTGAACATACAACATGACAAACATACTTGCCGAGTGCTGAACAGATTGGGGGCCGAGCCACTAAGCTCTGAAAGCTTGTCTTTCGGGCTGTGACCAAGGTCAAGCTCAGAAAGCTTGGGGCTCATTGTACCCACAATTATCAGGGCCAGACTTAGACCTGTAAGAAACAAAATGTTTGGTAGTTGAAAAGAACAAAGCAACAAAAACTGGGCAACAACATGCAACGACAAACGAGTTAAGTCTGGCAATGGAATGAGGACCGGGTCAAAGTCATCTTTCGCTTTGCGGTGTGAAGATCATGAGCTACCACCAATGAAAAATGCCTCCTTTAGGGTAACCACAAAAAACCTCACTTCAAACTTGGCCAACAGCTGTAGTATTGCCCAATACTAAGGTAGACCACTCAGATTGTATTTCAGTGCCAGAATCTGAGTTTTGGAGGTTCGGATCTTCTTGATCTGCTCGGGGGGGGGGGGGGGGAAACAAACACGTTTTCGCCGCTTCGCCACGTCTTCGTTTTCGCTAAGCGGCTGGCACCGATGCACACCGCCCTTGGCCCGTGTAACCTACGTCAATGAAGGCAATCCCCGGGACGTTGCTGCGGATGCGCCCCATGGCGCCTCAGAGTGTTTTGTTATTGTTTTTTTTGGTGCCTCCAACCGAAAAAGAAAAAGGAGACGTCCTAGCTTTGGCGCTTTAGCCCAAGCTTATATGGATGTGTCTTTGTTGGCATTACTTCTAAGGTGTAATAAAGATGGATTGGAGAGATTCGCAAAAAGCCAATTAAATATGTTTGTACCAGTTGGTAAAGATATCAAGATTGTAACTCCTGTAAAATAAGCTCTTGTATCACTTTCTAAACCTACAGTATACATATGATGTCCCCAAACAAGACTTCCAAGAAGAGAAATAGATGACATGGCAAAGATCATTGATTGCTTAGCAAAGATTATTAACTGTAAAATCCCAGAAATTATTATGGACATGGTCCCAAATGCAGGAATTATTAAGATGTAAACTCAAGTCTAAGAAACCGTTTGGCTAGGAGTGACCTTGGTCTTAGGCGGGAAGCCACGTCTCCAGTCACTGCCCTGTGGTGGGTGACCCATTTTTTCCCCGAGAAATACACGTTTGAACCCAAGTGGTTGCAGTTTTGAGGTCTCAAACTATGTTTGGCTTTCGGGATACAAAATGGGCTGATGGCCTGAATCCTGGAGCCAACTCGGAGGGAAATTTGAGTTGTGAAGCGTGCTTGGGGTGGTGTCATGTTCAACCACCATTTATAGGGTAATCTTGAGGATAGTCACGTTAATGGAGTTCTGCTACTAACAAACAACCTGCATTTGTAACTAGTTTTCTGTCAGCTTGTTATGTTCATGTGCTTTTGGGCTGGGTGTAAGGCACTGCCAACAATGAGGCACGGCCTAGATTCATTCAAGTGCACTTGCTGAACAAAGTGCCTTCCCGACCGCCGCATATGCCTTTTTTCAGCGTCACGAGGTGCACGTGGGCGGGTGTCCTTTTCATTGTGCAGGTGTAGGTGCAATGATGTGAGCTGCCCATGGGATGCGTGTTCAACCTCGGGTCTTACATTTGATGAGAAACATGCGGACAGTTCTGTGTCCATTCACATTTTCCAAAGGATTCCTAGACCGACATCGCCCGACCTTGCGATTTGATACAGCCAGAAAGGCAACACAACAACAAAAAAGGGCCAATTGCCCAGCAAGTCTATGTGTCCGGACTCTACTCCATAGTCTACCCTTTGTAAAATCGTTTCGGAGGAGACCCGTGAAAAAGTCGGTGTCCAAGTCTCAAGTCCCTTGGTTCATTTGGATGTACCCACTAGGCTATACGTATACATATGTAAAGGCAGCTAGCCCCAGCTTGCCACTCAGAACCATGGTCACTACATACAAAGTGAATTCAACATCCAAGCTGGTAGGTTGGGGTCATAGTCTCCCCGAAGACTCAAGATCCAGGGCGCATTCAGCCGCCTGCCTTGCGCTCTCCGCGATGTACCTCGTTGGATGTCCATTGAACATGAACATCATCGAACGTAAAAAGAACCCAAGCAAAAACCATAACGCCGAAAACGCATGCAAAGAAAAGCACATCATAGAGGTCATTTTGGCAATTGGTCCTGATTGAAGTTTTTCAGAACTATTTCCCACTAAAAACTACCCGCGAAAAAGACACACGCACACACACACACACACACACACACTTCTATTCCAATAAAAACATAATGTGGCCATTATGCTTGTAGCTCACCTATAGCTGCTTTGCTTGCTTTGGATCACGTGAGGTTAAGGGCAACCAAGGGAGCTGCCCTTTGGGTTAAACATCGCGGCAAGAAAAGCCTTGCTTGTTGCAGCCACCCACCAAACGTAAACAGAACCAACAAACTGAAAAGAACTAAACTGAAAAAGTGAACAATCAACAACACAACCACCCAACCAACAAAAAACCTGAACAGCTGCACACCTCAACAAAGCACACTGAAAAACAGAAACATGAAAACACAGAGAAAACCATCATAAACCATCGAACACGTGAAAACAACTGAACAACTGAACAACTGCAAAACATGAAATACCGCAAACAAAAAACAAAACTGAAAAACAACCTGAACAACTAAACAACTGAGAGTTGGAACAGCGGAGAGGTACTGATCGAAGCAGTACTTCACCTCTGCATTGGTCCAGGGCTGCCCCACTCCGTGGCTCTCCAGCGAGGAATGCCCCACCTCAGCAGTTTGGCGCATGATTTCTTTGGTGTCGCTTCTGGAGACAACAAAAGCCCGCAAAAGCGCAGAACTGGCCGTGGGTGAAAAATACATGGACCCTCAGACTAGCCAGAAAAAAAGGACTTCACCCCATCATTTTCGGGCTATCACCAATCTGTAAGGGAACTTTAGGGCCAAACATAGGTAAAATTGAAACATGGGAACAGGAAGGAACGACTAAACACTGCGGTGGTCTGCTGGTTTTGCTGTAAACATCCACTTAAACTCAGGGTTTTTTGAAGACCAACCACCCCGTAGTGGAAGTCTACTTGAAACCACCCTCCATGGGATATTGCCCCATTTTGGGTGGACATGTATCCGTAAAAGGGGAGTTTAAACGGATACACAGAACAGCATACTTTCTGCTTCAGCTGCGTATTTCGATTGAGATAGAAGATAGTGTTCGAGGAGACCCCAAATGGGGTTGTGAGATGGTTTCTACTTCCCACAGGATATGCCATTTGCATTGTGCATAAATACTGTGGATGGACGAATTCCACTTCGCGCCAGTTGGGATGCATGATACCCTATGAATATTTCTGTGGTACATGATTTCACCCTTCCACAGTATTCAACGCTAGATCCACCTGTGATCTATGCACTAAGAGTCAAGCGCCAAACAAATCCACAGTATGAATAGGGTTGATGTCAGTATGACCCGCTCGGGGTTCCCGGTGTCTATGGCCCAACTTCCCACGGGTTGTATATGTCAAAAAGAAGAATTCATAGAAGCAACATGTTCGTACTATGCGATCGAGAAAATAGTATCAAGTGATAGCAAAACAAACAACCATCTTGCCCTGGACAGATTCAACGGGGAGGGAGCTTCCACAGAATCGCCTGAGGGTGAGTATCAAATGGCCCACAGACCAAGAGGACATGGGAAATGGGGTCCCGGTTTTCCCCGAATTTGTCGGTTGTTGCATACTTGGGTGGTCCCCCCCTTCTTGTTCGACCCAAGTCTCAGAAGACAACCAACAACATAACAACACTCTCATTTACTCATGTGTTTCTTCCTCACGCTCTTGGACAGTGTGGGTGCAAATATTTTGCTGACCAGGTGTCAGGCTGTAAACAGAAAATAGGGGTGTTTGGGCCTAGCAACCTAAATGGGTTTAAACTGACAGCTGGCGGCAAGCACTTAATCGAAGAGTGTGCGACCTTGTATCCATTCCTTGACCAGCAACTAGAAGACTTCAACCGGGTTGATCTCTCCATCAAAACATCAGTTGCTGAATCGGCTTCACTCAACCAAAGCAAGCTCAGCTTGTCTCAATTGGCTTGGATTGGCTTGGAGCCGTTGAGGGTTTCCCTTCTCCAAAGCCAGGAAGTCAAATCCCACCAATCCAAAGCAAGACTGAGCTGCTCAAAAGCGCTCAATGTAAACAAAACAAACATCGGGATTTGTCCAACTGAAGCGTAGTTGGGGCCCAAACTTGGGACCATGATCAAGTCTGCCGACGAGGCCCACAGAATCCTTCAAACTCCGCAAACCACCCATGCTAAATCTGGGAACCCGCAACAAACCAACACGGGAACTTCCTCAGAGATCCCGACAGTGACACCGGCTTAGGGGAAGAAACCATCTGCAACAACTTGCAGCCGGAAAAACGATGGCAAAACAACTGGCAGCAAGGAAGTTGAAAAAGACAAACACAAGTGTAACACGTGAAGAAGGTAAGCCGTTGCACATGCTAACCCGTTCAATGGGTTCTAACCAACATGGGGTTCCTTTGGGATGCCACACGCCTGATTGTCCTTCCAAGCTAAACCTCGTGAGCCAGATCCCGTTCAGTCCATCGAATACACAGCCAACTCGCAGCCGTAAAAGGCCCAGGGTCCTCAAGGCGCTCAAGGGTCCCACTGGAAACTCTGCCATGGCTCCCCTTGCGAAAGAAGTGCCTGGGGGAATCCTGTGGTGAACGGGCCTCAAGGGGACCCTTTGCAGGGGTTGGTAAAATAAAAGAAGAAGAAGCTAGCCGAAGCCGGTGCTGTTGGGCTCCCCTATTCTGAAAAAAACTACCCGAATGCCATCGAAGCCAAGGCGCATCTCCTCCTAAGATCCCGCCATGCCCTCCGTCGACGAGGTCCCCCTGCGTTTCTGCCTTCTCCTCTGGAGAAGTGTTGCGTCCCTCCGTGTTTCGAAGAAGCCAATCCAAATCTGACCTGGTCAGCAGCATTCCTCAGGGAGCAAAAAGCGCGCAAACTGGCAGTTCGACTTTCTGAACTGTCCCCGTGCTTCCAGTTAACTGTATGATTTTCTCAGGGACTTGCATGCTTTTCTCTGGTGATCTATAGTGGTCACTGGAAGGACTGAGTCTGGTAAAGTATTCCCAAGTCGAAACGTTGCTAATGCTGTTCGGACAGGGCTTGGGCGGACACGCTTCAGCATTTCGAACAGGATGAATCTCCAAACGCTCGTCTCACTTGCCCAAAGGATTTCAACATGAAAGGTTACCCTTTGGAGACCTTGACCTGCATCTCAATCAAACTCACCCAACCAAAAGGAGACTCAGTTAAAATGGCCCCCAATGGTGACATCTAAAACCGCAAGGGGAGATATAGCGGACCAGGCAGCCAGGGTTTGAACAACCAGTCCCGTTCTTAGTGGCCCTTCTCAAAGTCATCTAACTAAAAAGGGAAACCACCCCAGTCCCTGTAATAGTCGAGTCATGTCCTGCTGTCGACCCCGGGTTCATATATCTGACCCCGGGTCAATAAATCTGACCCAGCGATATCTGGGTGTTCCCATCCACAAAAAAAAAGCGGTCTGGAGCCCTAAAAAGGGACGCCCCCCCAAACAAAACTCAACCAGACGTTTTGAAAACGGGGCTCCCGTTCCCAGTTGGCTGTAGGTCAAAACCCTGTACCCCAGTGAACCTCCCAATCCCCACTAAAATAGGTTCTAAAATGGGTGGTGAATTCACCTACCCCAAAATGGGATCCCATTGTTTTTGACCCCTCCTCATTTCTTTCTTTGGGGGGGGGGGTTGCTCTGGCCGAGCCGTGCCCGGCACCGGCGCCCGAGCCCCGCCTTGGGCAGCGGCGTTTCGGAACTCCGTGGGGCTGCTGATCAGCATCGAGGTCGCCGTGGAGACCCGCGCGATGCTGGCGTAGGAGGTGTCCGCCTGCCGATGGCCGGCTCGAAGGCGGCTCCAAGGGGACACCTCCCAGCAACTAACGGGGGTTTGTGCAAGGCCAACGAACCAAGAAGAAAGTCGGCTTTCTACAGGGGTCTGTGCACTTCGTTAGCTGGTGGGCAGACATGAAACCAGCTGCTGACTCGAGCTGAACAACCCGAAGCCTGGACGAAATCCACTTCGCGGTTTAGGATGGCTGGTGAAAATCACAATATTTATAGGGTTTTATCCATCCCAACTGGTGCTGGAGTTTGTGCATCCACAAGAAGATTTACATCTTGTCCACCATCATTTTAGTCAAAACACCTGTAAGATGGCACCAAATGTTGACCCAAGTTACCTCAAAGAAAGAATCCGCAAGCAAAAGGACTAAGGTGAGCTGTTTTCACCCCAATCTCGACTTGGCGGTTTGGATTCGTGGGTTTGGATCGGTGTTTTGGGGCGTCCCATTCATCCTCACTAACCAGGGGCTCAAATCCAAATCCAAACCAGCAGTTTAGGGTTGCCAGCACTCCACTCCGTTGGTCAGGGGTCATAATCCAAAATGTGGGCATCTTTTTCGAAAAACGAGTGCTGAATACACAACCTGAACAGGGATCCTTACATTATACACCTGAACATTGCAACTTGTAAATTGTGGATTCCCTGTATTTTGGTGGAAAAAGCCATGTTTCAAATCGGCAAAATGTATCTTTTAAGGAGCCCTACTGAAGCTCGCACAAATCAACAAGGCGTGGCAATGCCCACCAGGAAGCCATTGTCCACACTCCAGGCCAAGTGCTCGGCAATGTCCACCGCCTCAGGATCTGTGCTCCTCCAATCACGACAGAGGAACCCGAAGGCAAATCCAATGAAAGGTATGGCAGTTTCTCTGTGTAGCTGGGGGGCAGTGAAAATCCCAGTCAAGGAATCCGACAGTTCCTGGGCAGGTGGATCTCGACAGCACGTGTTAGTGAGACCAGGCCCGCGCCGCTTCCGAAGCGGCCGAATGGTTCAGGGCCAGAGACTGAACGAAGACACACGTGCCATGGACAACCCAAGGCTGGCGCTAAAAAGGCCAGCATACGTGAAAAGGGAGGAGTGCTCGGGAGAGAAACGCCGCAGAGCCGCCCAGGAGGCACAACGCCCTAAGAACCCAAAAAACAAATCATGGCACAACTAAATCATTCAGTACTAAACTGTCTGGAACCCAGGTGAACTCAGCCGGCTTTGATGGGTCTCCAGCTCGTAAACTGTGGTCTTCATTATTCAGTCTCTTTTGGCGAATCAAAGGGATCCGTTTCCCGTTAAAGTTCTTACCTAAAGCTGCATTCTGAAAAAAAGTTGCAAACAAAAAACGATCCAACTAAACCCAATACTAAACAACACAAATTGAAACAGTTGTTGCCTAAAAAACGGCCTAACAATAAGAACCCTCCGAGGTTTCGGTAGTGTTTTTTTCCTATCGGGGGGCGGGATTGCTTGGAACTAAGGGAACCTTACTATGAAAAAACGTGTTCTAAAGAACGACCTATACAAGCGGCTATATTTGGAGTTGAGGGAACCCGCAAAATAAGGCCAAGGGCCCCAGACTTTCCAACACTTCTGCGCAAAAGCTTTGGTCGATCCGAGCGATCCACGAAGCGTGCTGTGTCCTTTCTATCACGAACTTGGCCATGGCGACCACTGAGTTGGAGATGCGATCCTTTTGCTCCTCCTGTGAGCCATAGATGCACAAATGTGTCACACAATGGTGAGCTCCCTTCGGTTTCCCCTTTCAACCGGCCCAACAAGAAATTCCTCAAAAAACCTATGTGTCTATAGAAATATTGAGGGGGCGGGCTTCTCAAAATTGTCCGCTGACCTGGTTTCAGTTTGTCCCTGGAAGCATTGGGTTCAAAGGCCCTTCAGGAAAGATCTGGCGCGGACTACACCAGCAAGTCTCACTGCAAGTTGCACAAGCAAGTAGCACTAGCGAGTTGCACTTGCAAGTTGTATTAGCAAGTAGCAGTAGCGAGCTGCGCTTGCAAGATACACTAGACCATAGCGCTAGCAAAATGCACCAACTCGCAGCACTAGCCAAAAAGCACTAGCAAAACTTGCACTAGCAAGTGGTGCGAGCAAGTTGCAGTAGCGAGTTGCAGTGGCAAGTTGCGTGTTGCGTTCGCCAATTGCAGCAGAGGTTGCAAGCGAGCAAGTTGCGCAAGGAAGATGCAGGAGATGTTTGTAAAGCAAGCTGCATGATCAAGTTACATAAGAGGTTGAGTGAGCAAGCTACAACAGCAAGTAATGTACGAGATTGGCGCGAGAGGATTTCAGTGTCAATTACGTCAAAGAAAAACTCTTTGAAGGCGGCGGGCCTGCGCCAACTTGGCGATCGAAAAGTCGAAATCGGGCGGGTCGAGGCTTGAGGATCTTGAGGTTTCTTTTACGGCGCAGCTTCAAAAACTCGCGGTGTTTGCTACGTTGAGCGGTTCGCGCAGAACCGCAGCATCCGCAAAGGGCTGCCCGCGCAAGTAGCAAAAGCCTCGAGTTTTGAGGTCGACCAAATCGCCCGCGCGGAATGCTAGTATGGTTTGCGCTCTAGCTCTTGGAAGCGAGAGGCCCAGGCTCGAACCCTGCTTGGTCTCCGCGCGTCCTAAGATAGAAAGTCAGTAGCGCGAAAAAAAAAGAGCGAAGTGCACTTTGGCAGCTCCGGACGGAAACCCGTCACTTGTTTAAGTTCGAAAGTGGTACGCGAAGTACACTTTCGCAGCTCTGGCAGGTAAATCCAAGCTGAGCTACGAAAGTAGCACGGGATCCTGTTTGAGCTCCAGCTTCAAAGTTGCAACTTGTCAGTGCGAAAGTACGCGAAGTACACTTTCAGAAGGCTTCGGCTGGCAGATCGCAACTTTCAACTACGAAAGTATGCGCGAAGTGCACTTTCGCAGGTCCGGATCGACAATTGTACTTGCGTCGAAAGGTTGTTGTGTTGTCATCCGCGCTGCACGTAGAGAACTTGCTCATAGAAACTTGTTCAGAGAAACTTGCTGAGAGAACTTGTGCCAAAACGACAAAACAACCTTTGAGGGAGTTAAGTCACTTGGGTGGATTGGTCGCAGAAGTCCATGTACACCTGAACATTGCGGCTTCTAAATAGTGGTTTCCAACTTTATCTTGGTGTTGAAAAAGCAACATGTTTCAAATGGTTGCAAAATGTATCTTTTAAGGAGCCCTGGTCAAGTACCTCCCTTCGGGGCATGATGTCGACTCCCAACTACATACAGGAGGTACCATCGAACTCCAGTGGGCATTCGGAGCAGGGTAAATTCAGTCATCCTCTTGAAATTTCAACACGGGTTTATTCAGCAGCTGGGATTCCCATACCTATCCGGGGGTCTTAAAATAAGGGAACCCATGTTGCGCTTCAGCGTCCCCAAACAATGTGATAGTTCACGCAGCCATATATGGTAAGAAAACAATCAGTTAGCATGCCCATCCAATAGTAACGTTAGCATACCTGGGGAAATTTCTCAGGAAATAGGTGCGCCACAACCTGTAGAGCGTGGTTGTTACTCACCACATGGGTTGAAGAAGTATTCCTGGAATTCAAGCCACCATTGAAGCAGCGGAGGCTAATATAACACCAGTGTTTGCCGTGTTTTTTTGCCATTCTTACAATGAGGGCTCACTCCTGAGTGGATTGATCGAACAAAAGCCCAAACTTTGTTTGCCACTAAAATGGTCCAAGCCCAAGAAGTGGCTCATGAATTCCGGGAGTGAGAGGCTTGAACGTTTGAACCCTGGGATCACATGCAGCTTTGACTCCTCGGTCTCTTCGGCGTTCGCTTCCAGCGAGCAGTGCACGTCCCCGGACACTGCGGTGTCCTGGCGATTCTACAAACATGCTCGTCGTCTTGAGGCAGCTGGACCCGCAAACTACCCATGAAAATGAGAAACTATTTTTGGGATGTCCCCTGTTAGGGGTGGCTGTAAAGGAACAGAAAAAGAAAAACTAAAACAACACTCATTGTGGGGCGCCAAACCCCTGTTTCGACACAAAACCCAGGTTTACGGGGCTAAAGTGAGTCAACCCTGACTCGAGGGCCGACTCCGGGATCAAGGGTTCATGACTTGTCTGGTTGATGGCTTGCTTGCTGGTTCTGTAGGGACCATCCAACTGGTGGCTTTCTTCCCTTCCGGTTCATTTCCCTACTGAGAACATGCCCTTGCTCTCTGCAAAAGGGGAACCCATTTCTTGGCGTCTGGGGTGCAAAAAAATAGCATTCTTCAGATTCCGTATCATAATTAGTCTACTCGTTGAAGGGTTCAGGGTTCAGGTACCGAGCTCTTCGAGATGGACAATGTTCGTGAGTCCCCTTGCTTTTTGCCCTTCTCGGCCCTCCCACATGGAGGTTTGAAAGCTTGGGTTTGGACAAGTCAGTGGTTCTTCAAGGCGATCTTCCCCTTTCTAGGTGCCTGGCTATGCCTGAAACCTCAGGGTAGCTTGAGAGTCCAGGAACCCTTTTCAGGGTGGATTTGTTGTTTTGGTGAGAGCCCAACAAACGCGAAATCTCTCCCCAATGAACTTTTTTCAGTACCTGTTCTTTGGTTGATTTCAGAGTGAAGCCCTCAACTTGCTGGTCCCCGGCAGGGAATAAGGGAATGAACCTCATTTCCTCAAAGGAAACCACCAGTTGGATGGTTTATAGGGGTCATTCTCTGGTCAAACAGCACAACTGGGAAGCCCTCGCCACCTGTCTGGGCCGGTGGGCCACGTGTGTCGATCCTGCTGCACCAGGTCGACATAGGTCGCCAGCAGCGAACATTGCAACGTCGAGGAATCGAAAACGAAGAAGTTGCAGCTCGCTTGGAGCACACCTAAGCAATGGGTAAACTTAGACCTTTTTATATGGGGGTTGCCCCTGGTTTTAGTGGGATTTCATCGCTTTTGGAGGGGAACACCCCATTATAGACAGGGGTTACACAGGGGTTTATTCTTCCGGGATCAACCGTTTGTCAAATCTATTACAAGGCGTCCTTTTAACTTGTGTTTTTTTTTCTAAATTCAACCCCAAGAAGGCTACCCACAAAAAATCTCAAATCCTTGAACAAGGGCAAATAACCCCATCATGTTGGCTTGCAAATCTGTGGGCCGACAAAATCAACTTCGCATCAATTGAAATGGACCAAACGCTATGACTAGTGGTTATGCTAAACCACCAACTGGTACAAGGATTTTGACCGTCCACCGTGTCAACCACTTAGGGTAGTTTGAGTGTCCAGGTACCCTCCCGACAAACGGAAGGAACTTGCAGGGTCCCCGTCAAAGGAAAATTGTCCTCTAGGTTCTACTGACTGATCTGGGTGTGTCTTGAGGCGCATTTGGGGCTGTTCTACGGGAATATGGGGGAAATTAAAGGGAACGCACCCAGCTAAAAAGCGGCCACGACCTACTGACGTTTGCTTCTTAGATGGTAAAGTTTAATACAGGCTATCCAAATTCATGCGGGTAAAACCACCTACGCTGGCCCATCGGCGGTTTTGGGCACTGCTCAATTGATCTAAACCCTGGGGGTGATGACCCCAGCTTAGAGTCACAAAAGACTCCAGGTACATTCAGCAGATCCAAGTACACTCACGCAGAAAGCGGATTCCCCAGACCGACTCAGGTACTCCCAGTCAGATTTGGCATGATAGGCACCTAACTGCAAGGATCTGAAGGAAGGCGCCTTTTTTTTAAAGCCGATGCGAGCCACACTCTGGTTGAATTCTTTCGCAACAAAGTGAGCCGATGTGAGCCATAGAGCTCTGGTTTTGGGTTTAGCTGTGGGTTCCGGAATGCTTGGGTGCCTGAACCTGGGTCGGCACAGATTTCGTTCTGTCTGGAGACTCCTGGAGACTCCTGTTGCCAAAAAGGGGGATCGGTCCCTCCGATCACCCCTTTAGAACGGTAAAGAAATACAGAAATCAGTTTGGGAGTTTGAATCGCCCCCTCTTTTTGTTGGAAGGGATGAGTCTCCTTGGCCAATCGACGCATCGATTAACCCTAGTGTTCCTGGTGAATGGGCTCGGATTCAAGCCTTTGGGCCGTGTAGAGCTGTCACTGGGCAAAGGGTCGCCAACTTCAGACTCCTAATGCCCATTTCTCTTAGGGCCTCATGTTGACCCCTCACCAAAAAAAGACAAATGAGCCCTAAGACTAGTGGGTACTTTGAGTAGGGTGCTGATCATTCAACCATAAGAAGGTCGAGGTGCCGGACGGATCGGACGTGCAAACTGAGCTTTGCTGCTTCCAAGCGAACATGAAGGAACAAACAAAGGCATTAAACAAAACAAAAGAGTTAGGCTTGGCAACGTCAACAGTTCAAGCCAACCGAACTTTCAGTAGCCATGAAGCCTTTGCTCTGAGGGAAACAAGTCCATGGTATCTTCCAAGATCTTGGCATAGTAGTAAACAACTTTGGTTTGTGCAGCGCCCAGCAACAATGCACAGAGCCAAACAAGTCAGAATACGGCTGTGGTTCACTACATGGCACCTTGGCAAATAGAACCAAAGACTAAACCCTGCGTAACCCTAGCTGTTTAATTTTGAGCCACGCCCACATGTGGCCATGGGTCAAAATCCCGTACCCCCACTGAACATCCCAATCCCCACTAAAATAGGTTCTAAAAATTGGGTGGTGAATTCACCTATCCACCAAAATGGAATCCCATTGGTGTTGACCCACAGCCATATTGTTTCCCTCTTCTATCATGATTATGGTAGAATAGAGTATTGAATCCTAGCTTTTGTGCCCATGGTCAACCCCTTACAAGTGTTGTGTCCACCTTTCATGCTAAGCCACGCCCACATGTAGCCACAGCTCCCATCTTTTTTCGCCAAGGCGCATGACTTCTGGCAGTGCTGCGCGCTCTTTGCCGCGACCCGCGCCAACACGCCGCCGGGGCTCTGCGCGGAGCTCTGCGCCGTCGGCTGCGCGTCGGTGAGCACGGAGGGGGTGTTCAGGAAGGCATAGCCATGCTGACCTGCCAGCTGGGTTCAGGTAAGCGGCTTGGGTTGAAAAAGGCGCCAAACTAAGGGGACGAACTTTAGCCCATGATCAGAGTTCGGCCCAGTTATAGAATGTATATTGTTGTTTTTTGTTTGCTTCACTTTGAGTCACTGGTAAAACGTAAAATGTATCCCTTGCTGTCACCCCCTAATCCTTAGGGGGTGAAGGTTTAGGGTTTAGATTTAGAGTTGAGGTTAGCCGTAACTGTAGCTATCCGGTTAGAGCCTACACACTAAATCCCGATCGGCGGGTTACCAATCGATCCATGCTCCTCTGGCAGGTGGTTCCATTGCCACGTGTCTATAGGGGGTGTCATTTTTTGGGGAGCACTCTTTTGGCAGGCTACCAAAAGGCCAGCCAAATTGGTGCTCCCTCAAAATGCAGACAAACCCATAGGGACTGATTGGATAAGGCAATCGGCTTGCACCAAGTTGCTGTTGTGGAAGGGCTGCCTTGGGGGAACTTCAACCATTCTGAACCAAGGGATCTGAATTCCAGAAAATTATTTGAGGCGATCCGCTACAGGGTAAAAGGTACTACTCCCCCGCGTGAAAAGAGGATGATGGCCAAGTGGAAGGTGTATGTTTACTTTTTACCCAACCGAGCAGCCCTGGTTCTAACCCACAGAAACAAATCAAGGGTTGCTACTCAAGTAGCTCTCCTATCAAGCCTACGGGAAGATTTGTTCTCGGTGCGTCTTTGATCTCGGAAATCTGTATTCGGTCACTATAGTCGATTGGGGAAGGACTCAATCGTCTAGAAAGTCTAGAACAACCAGGGGGACTCGCTAATTGTCCTATGTCCTCTATGGGAAAACCATATGTCATTCTGTTGGTCAAGGCGCAATAGCGCTTTCCTATCCCAACCTTTGGCACTTGGAAAGTACAATGGATTCGAATCCCAAGCCGCAATCACCGAAAATAGACATCCTATAGTATCGGGCTAGCAGTTAGAATATATTTTTTAGAGTAAATGAAAATGCACATTTCAAAAGTCTATCAACAAAATGAGTTAGAATAAATAGGAAAAAAGTCAGTTAGAATAAACAAGAAATTGAAGATATAATATTTCAACCAAAAAGAAGACAACAGATAGAATATTTCAAAATAAGAAAACAACAGATAGAATATTTCAAAATAGGGGTTTCTGCTATGAACAACTACTCTGCGATAAATGTCCTAGCTGCTAGCCCGTTGCTAGATGTTTATATATATGCGGCTTTCAGCAAACCATGTGGGTCCCATGATTTTCCATTCGGGTCCGTCTCTCTTTCAAGGGTATATGCAAAACCAAACGGAAACCAACCGATTTGAGGGGTCCCCTCAAAGAAAGACACACGCATTTGCCAAAGGAATGCATAATGCATGGCTTCTCCATTTTTTCGGAGCTCAAATGCTCAGCCCGACGGGCCATGCCCCTCTCCCACAGACAGATAGAATATTTCAAAATAAGGGTTTCTGCTATGAACAACTACTCTGCGATAAATGTCCTAGCTGCTAGCCTGTTGCTAGATGTTTCTATGTACGGCTGTCAGCAAACCATGTGGCTGTGGGTCCCATGATTTTCCATTTGGGTCCGTCTCTCTTTCAAGGGTATATGCAAAACCAAACGGAAACCAACCGTTTTGAGGGGTCCCCCTAAGAAAGACACACGCATTTACCAGAGGAATGCATGGCTTCTCCTTTTTTCGGAGCTCAAATGCTCAGCCCGACGGGCCATGCCCCTCTCCCACAAACAGATAGAATATTTCATATACAGCAAATTCTCCAGAGACTCAAACGGTACCGAGCCCAAAATATTCATGAACACCTTTTGGGGGGGGGGCACATAGAATATTTGCTTTTGCAAAACTTCATCAGGTGATTCATCGTATGCATAAATTACTAAATATAGAGATAGTAAATATTGGATTGCTTATTTTTTGAGGGTACCCCAGTATATTCCAACAAGGGGTGGCCTTCCTTTCCCTTTAACCCAACCACAAACGGCACCGAGCCCAAAATATGCATGAACACGTTTTTGGCAAAACTTCATCAGGTGATGAATCGCAGGCATAATGAAAGATATAGAGATAGTAAATATTGATTTGGTTATTCTTTGAGGGTCCAAAAGCGTGGCCTTCCTTTCCCTTTAGCCCAACCCCAAACGATACCGAGCCGAAGCTATACATAAACACCATGGGGCGGCACAGATAGAGGCGGAAAACCTTCATCAGGCCACACTTTAATATATATATATATAACAGAGAGAGAGATAGCAAGCATTGGATGGCTTATTTTTTAAGGGCACTTCAGTACACTCCAACAAGGGGTGGCCTTCCTTTCCCTTTGACCCAACCCCAAACGGTACCGAGCCCAAAATACAAATGAACACCATGGGGTGGCACAGCTAGAATATGTGTGTTTGGGCCAGGAAACCTTCATCATGCATTCAATCGTATGCAATTATATAAACATATACATATTATATATAGAGAAAGTAAATATGTGTTTGCTTGGTTTTTGAGGGTACCCCACTATGTCCCAACACGGGGTGGCATTCCTTTCCTTTTAACCCAACCCCAAACAGTACCGAGACCACATATGAATAAATGAGACAGTTCGAGTAATCCCAAATCTTGACATGCCTGTGCAAATCCTTGGAAGTGGAACAGACAAATAGAATAATCTGTGTCAGATACAAAGGCTGCGAGGTCTGGAAAATGACCTTTGAAAGGAGGTATTGGCAATACTAAGTTTAGTCCTGGCTGTTCAACGCAAGTCGAGAAGTGTGTTATCAGAACAGGTTTATTTTGAAAATCTACGGCCCTTGCCGAATTATTCTATCTGATAAAAATACTAAATTTACTATTGGCAATACTAAAGTTAGTACTGGCAATACTAAATTGACTATTGCGGCAAAGCTACCCCCTCTTCTCGTAGCCAAAAATCCTTCCAGGATACGTTTTTAAATAAAGAATTTTACAGTTCAAATCCTTGCTAAACTTTACTAGGCTTAGCATTGGCAATCCAAAGTCTATATTGGCAATGCTAAATTCAGTACCGGCAATAGCAAGAATGTCCTGCCAATACTAAATTTACTATTGGCAATGCTAAAATTAGTACTGACAATATACATGAGTACTATTCTCAAACTAGTACTGGCAATGCACAATTAAGTACCGGCAATTCTAAAATTAGTCCTGGCTCGGAGGACCTGATTTTACCGCCCGCGTGCAACTCCAAAGTTTCTACCTTTGAGCTTTTCGTGAAAGCGTTCGAGCTTCCCCCCCTCTAAGCTCATTTCTCACTAGCAATGCTTCATGGACATCTGAGACATCACCATCTGCTTTTATGATTCACTTCTTCTTCCTTGACCCCATGCATCTGCGCGGCTCGATGCCATCAAACGTTTCGACGCCATCAATTGGTGTGTGAAATTGCCTTGTGACCCAGCTTGCTGAAATATTCTGTGAAATATTATGTCTGTCAAAACATATTCTATCTGAATTATTCTAAGTGTATGCTATCTGAATTATTCTAAGTGTCACTTGTGAACCTAAATATTCTAACTGATGTTTTGGGATATTTTCGGAGTGAAATATATTCTAAGTGAGGATCGGACGGAGTAAAATATATTCTAAGTGCTAGCCCGATACTATACTCGGGGGAACAACGGGGAACACGGCGCCATCAACACCAAGTGCACCTACCCGCAGAAAAATTGCAAACACCTTCGGAGAGAACCCAACTCCCCTCCACTGCCCCTCCCAAAACGAGGCAAAACGAGGCAGAACAGGGAACCTTGGAAGGCAAAACAACAGCATAAACATTACATTGAAACCACCGGGACCGAACCAAAAGGACGAAGGAAGGGCAGGTTAAATTCAAAGGGAACCCATCTCCGCAAGGCAAAATAAAGGTGGAAAAACAGATGTCTGGCAAATAGGGGGTCTGTTAACACATAAAATCACCCACCCTTTTTGGTGTCCCAATTGAGTTACGGCACTGATTTCATCAACCCGAAACTATGTTAAGAAGTCGGCGGAAATCCGTCCTCTGCCTGGGACTGTCCCATGCCAACCTTGACACACTCATGTTTTGATTGTGGTTGTGATCGCGATCTTTCGTGGTTCTCCTTTTCGTCTCCCTTGGTTTGCTTGTTTGTTTGTTTGATTGTTTGTTTGTTTGTTTGTTTGTTTGTTTGTTTGTTTGCTGTGCTTGGTGCTACCCAGCTGCAAACGCAACAAACATGGTAATTACCCACTGCCACAAATGCAACTCGCTTGCTTTCTGCTCCCCTGCTAAAAGTTTTTAACTTCTCGTGGTTTAATACGGAAAACCCATTGGTTGACAAAAGGCTAAAGTCCTAACATCGCAAGATGCACCAAAGAAAAGGCCACATTGACGCCCGCAGGCACCGGCCAACTTTCTTTCTACAGCTGGGTGGCACTCCTCAGCAGTGGCACCCAACACCAGGAGCGCGAGAAGGCGTGCCATCGGAGCGAGTTCGAACCATCCTACGCTGCGACTCCACCGATCCGGATCGGCATCAAGCCCGGATCCACCCCTCTAGCATATGCAAAGAGGAGCAAAAGGGTACAAACTTCCATTTGCTCAAGCCCCCATGAAACCAAAAAAAACATTCGGGAGTGATCGATTCCCTTTAAAACCGAAAAGGGAAAATAAAACATGTTAAGCACATGGAAGCCGTAATAAAATGACCAACAGGGGGAATAACTTTTGTGAAATGCACAAAAGCTGATCCAATCGATTTTCTAGAGGTAAAGAAGGATTCCACAGCATGTGCAGTAGTTTGCACCTTTTATGGGCACCCCATAAAATCGCTTTTCAAGGGTAGTTTGAGGGTCAAGGCAGCATCCTTGCTTTGGGAAACCAGTAAGATTCCGAGGTTGTGTGTGATTCTAAGACGTTGCTTCCAAAACACCGTTCCCCAAATTCGTTCCACCAATCTTTTGAGAGAGCAAGACTTAAGAAGTGGTTTGGCAGCTTTCTACAAGAAGGACCTCTGGAAAGTAAGAATTGGGGAAGGTGCAACTGGATGAGTGAGAACAAACCTCTTAAGGGCAGTTCTTGCACCTGGGAAAAGAAGCCAAACCGGCCCACACTAATATGGCTTTGGAAACGACCCGGATGGGCAAGTCCACAGTGGGTGTCATGTAGAACAGGTTGGGACATGTTGAGTCCAACCAACAAAAATCAGATAGAGCACTTCGCACCCAACCAATAGGTGCAGAAATCGCACGCCTTTGAATAGACTCCTTAGGACATGAGTGGCAAATCCACATTTGGGGGTCCATGTGCTAAGTCTTTGTGACTCTCTCTAGGCTACAGAACTCCTAGTAGGTTGCTAGCTCCCTATTTAAAAAGCAAATCTGGATACCCCGGTTCAGAATGGTCATGGGTTCATATATCTGCCCTAGCGAGGAGGTTTCTTAGAAAGGCTTACAACAAATGATTCCCACCCGGGGGCCTCTGAACATTTTGGTTGCCTCTTGGTTTCCTAAATCCAAGCAAGCAAGCAGTGTCCCTGCAAACCAAAAACCGTTTCCCTTTAAACCAACAAAACAAACATAGTTGGCCATTTGTCCAAATCCTGTACCCCCAATCCCCACTAAAATAGACTAAACTGGGTGGTGCACCTACCCCAAAATGGTACCATCGGTTTTGACCCACAGCCATTTACTCTGGGTATGGCTTTTGCCGGCCAGGGGGAGTGGGGTTTCTTCCGCTCGGTTCGGGCTCCGGGCCGCTGAGAAGGTGGCGAAGCCAAGGCAGCCCAGCGCCATCCCCGAGGGCCCGCCCTTCGAGCGCGCCAAGTCTAGGGGACACCAACCGAAACCGAGGGTTAAGGGGAAAAGATCTACAGCCACACATACACGTTTCTTGGAGGGGCACATCTGAAAGGCCTACTAGGCAAGCAACCTCCTGGGATCCAATGGGCTTGAGGAGAGCTTCTGGAGGATCCGGAGAGGACAAGTCAATGTTCTAGGGGACACTTCCAATTCCATTCTTTCCAGGGACCCTAACCCAAAAAGGAGATGAGCAGGCCCGGGAATTTCCCCAGCCTGCACAGTGCCTCGAAACCTTTTTTTCTAGTTTTTTCGCTCGATCAGGATCAGGCAATTCCAACTTGAGTGTGATCAAAGTTTTTTTTTGCGCCAAAACGGGTCCGGATCTTTCCAGAAATCCATTAGAACCACAGGAGAAACAGCGATCTGAAAAGAATGGGGAATCAACCCCTAGAACAAGGCGGGAACCCCACGAGAAAGCACCCCCATGGCTCAAAATCAAGGAGTTCTGCTTCATCCGGGTTTAACATGGAAAGGGAAAAGAAAAAAAGGAAGGGGAAACCAGGAACCTACAACAAATCCCTGGGTAGTGGTTCACGTTCCATGTCAATTTGGAGGGATTCCATTAACCTGTATAGGTACCCAAAGGAAACAGTTAAAGACGAGGAACATGGCGAAGGGGTACATAGTTTTCCTTCCCCCAAACACTCAGCCGGGCCCGAAGCGACCCCTCACGGGACACCAACCAGGATTTGCCCTCAAAAGGCTCGCCTTTGGGTAGCCATAAAATGAATTATGTACCAAAGATGAGTATTTTGCCATGCTTCCCGAATGAAGGTGGGGAAGATTGGTTTTTGAGGTCCCCTTGGTTGTGGGATATTTCGTGAGGACCAAACTACGCCCGTAGTGGCAAACACAACCCCTGAAATGCGTTTCAGGGGCTCATTGATGAGCCTTCAGACCCGATATGGAGGACCGATATTTCGTTCCCAAGTTCCTCCAAGTTTTGGGTACTGAGAGTTGTTTTTTCTATAGCAGGCAACCAGCCAATGTCTAGCTACATTTCCCGCTATGGACCTGGAGATGCACTCCACCAGACATTTGTGGCTGTTGCAGACAAGTGCCACGCTTGCTGAACTTCTGCGAAGATTTTGGCACAAACACTCCAAGAGTGGAGACGATGCGGTGCGTTCTTGGGCGAGCGGGAGCAGACATTGCAGGGTGAAGGCTGGAATAATCTGGGCTGCCCTCAGATCCCTCGCTAAAAGTTTAACTTTTAGAGGGTTATATACATGGAAACTGCCACTAAACACTAAAAGGCTAAAAAGCTAAGGGGATGGTTGGGAGCCACCAAGTAATAGTTTGCAGTTTGCTGCCTGCGCCCTGCTGCTGGTTCTCAGTTGCCGAAAGGACGCAAACATAGAAGGTTCACCTTTTGGGGCCACTGGACTAGGAAGGCAAAACTGAAAGGCAGATCCGGTCGATTCGCTTTGCTCGAGTGATTGTGGCCTAAGCAATCTCCCAGAGGTGCAGGAGCATTCAACGGAGGAGTTTTTTTCGGCGCTCGTCTTGGTGATTGTTGAATCTAAGATGACGTCCACCCCTGAACCACTACTCCTATACCCTCCCACCATGGAATCTGAATTCCCCTCAAGGGGAGAACGGCCTTCTGGGACCCCCCCCCTGTCAGCTTCCATGTTGATCTGTGAGAGGGTACCCTTTACGTAGTGCTATATCGTGGTTTATCCTATGAAACCTCTGGGGGTAGCTGTTCGGGGGCAGTGGAAACCATCTTAGATTTGAGCCCGTTTGGTCCTTAAAAGAAGCAACTATGGAACAGGTACCATCAGCACAACAAGGGCGAACAAGGTCAATCTACCGTTGCTGCATATGCAAAAGGTGTTCCGCGTCGTGGGGAATCTTCCAAGTGCACGCCTCCACTCAGAGCAATTTGAATGGCAGCGATCTTGCTGCAACAGCTGAAGTACCCTTACATCCGGTAGAACTGGTAGATGTAATTTGATTGTGTTGGACAAACTTGGAGACCCCTTTACTTTGACAAGTGCTTCTTGAGGCTCCGTCTCTTACTTTTCAGAGAGGGTCCAGCATTCCGATGTTATTTTGGTGTAAACTGTCAAGAGTTGGACTTACACTTGCCCTCAAAACAAACCCTGACGCGTCGTAGGGGGAAGTTAACCTCCTTTTGCTTGAACAACCTTCTTTCGAATTCCGGTGTGGGTGCTTGTTGGATGACTGTTTTCACAGTGGCTGAAAAAGAAACCAACAGGAACAATTAAGCCACCCGACCAATGGGGTCCAAACCACAATTTGACACGTGCCCTGATTTGCACCCCACAAATTACCACTCAGGGGCAAACGCGGTATGATATTATATACTCTCTATGTAGTGGTTTGCTGGTGGCTGTATATGGGTGTGTGTCAAAGGCGGAGGGGAGGGAGCAAAAACCAACCTGCAAACTAAGCCCTCCAGAAACAGAGCCAAAAGTCTACCCCACAAAACAAAGAAGAAGTTCATGCGCGTTCAGGCTGGCGACTGCCGTTTTGACCGCTTTTGGGGGGCCAATCTCCCGGTGTTGTGTCCCATTCACCGGTGCCTGAAAGGCGAGCACGCCCCCGGTCGCGCACCCGGACAGCACCGCGTTGGGCCTTAACCCCAGTGGCATTTCCCTGCAAGTGTTTTCCAGTTTTGATTTTTCCCCTGTTTTTTTTTTTTTTTTTTTTTTTTTATCCAGAAACGATAAACAAGGAACACCCAAAAGGCACAAAAGACACAAAAAAGGCAATGTATTTTCGCACTGTCAGGATTGGTGTCTAGTCACTTGGAGTTTCCCGATTTGTCACACTCTGTGAAGCATGTCCTACGCCAATCAGGACCTTTCAGAGCTATAGCAACGGGAGCCATTGCAGCCGAAAAGTGACTGTTAGACTAGTGACTACCTGCTACCCCTTGTTTGTCCAATTCTATCACCAATCGGAAGATTTGCACAAAATGGTTGACTGTTGTCACAATTGTAGCCCGGTGCTACTTTGCCCATTGGCAACTACTCCAAACGGTTCGAAACCCGTTCAGCCCCAAAAAAGATATCAACGAGCGGTCGTTGCCGCGCAGAACTGCGCTGTTGTGACAATGGTCGTTGTCTTACCCCTTAAAACTCCAAGGATTGGGGAAGTTAACCATGTTACCCAAAAAGTTGAGACAAGTTTTGTGTTTTTAAGAGGTAAGTTGTTGGTGCCAGCAATTTCACCCCCCCGTGCAACAAACCTCCCATTTCTCCATGTTTCGGGGCCATTTCAGGACGAGGGAATGGGCTAGGATCGATGTACCTTTTGGCACCTTTTGCTTGAAAGATGGACCGGTCAAAAGATTCGAGTTGGGCAAATGAGCCCTGTACACAAACCAGAATACAGGGTGACCCGCTGGAGACTCCTTTTTTTGCCCAACCAGTTTCCCTTGACAGAAATGGTTTGGGAGTGGAGTATGACCGCATGAACGGGTGGTCGTCCCTTTTGCTTTCCTTTATATAGACCAAGATGAGAAAGGTACAATCCAAAAACACACACACACAATGCTTGGCTCACATCCGAGGTACCCAGCAAGTCAAATTTTCTGACCCTTGTTCATACTTAGCCAGCCCCAAAATTTCGGATACCCCAAATGTAGACGAGGTCAACCAACGGAACCCTTTCAAAACAGGTGAG